GATTGTAACGCATTCTTGTTTGAGCTTAGACTTATGACGGTCATGCTCTAGGATATTTTCGTATTCTTAGAGCTCCCCATCAACGATCAAGCCAGCCTTTTTGCCATCAACCCTGAGAATCTAGAGTTCTCAATAATCTCTCCTACAACCGATGACTTTTTTTACAAAGATGGCTCGTATAATGCCACTATCAGGTGGTATGATACTTTCTTGCTTTTGAACCCACCCTTATGAAGAGGATGTCATCTTTCTGTAGGTGTTTTTGAGCCAGTTGATTTTTCCTCTAGGTGGAGGAAAGCTCATGGTGCACCATTTGCACCTAGTGAAATATTTGCACCTTGGTGGTCGCGTCATTTTGGGCGCAACATTCTTGTGAGCATTCTTAACTTCACTTGCATATTTTTTTTAATGTCTAAAAAATGAAAAACAATGTAACAACATTAGATTCAAAATCGTGGATCCTTCCTAAACACTATATATCCTACTAAGCATGTACGATAATTTTTCATGGTCCATATTATCATGTTGAATATTACTTTTTACACCCCTTCTCCCATTCTTGGGAATTTTTAAAATTTAATAGAATTAACTAATTTTGACTATTTTTTTTTACTAACCCTTTTTAACTGATTTTTTTAATTTATGCAAAATTGTTATGTGGCAGTTCCTTATAATAAAAATCCAAAGAAATACTAATGGTCGATATTTATTTATATTTATATATTGTGAAAAACCCAAATTATCTCCATTATTTATTATCTTGGTCGTGCGTAAATGAAGAAAAATATAATTGACACAATAAAAATAATTAATATTCACTAATCACTACAACATCGATTTCCTTGCAAATTAATGAACAATACAGAAATTGCACTTCCAAATTTGAGAAGCAGTATTAAACCCAACCAGATCAAGAAGAATAGGTGGACTAACTAACTGTGGACAATAACCATGACGCAAGAGCAGTGTCACTTTGCTCATAGATTCAAAAACAAGATTAACAACTATACGACCTTGATTATCTTAAACAGTCGCTAGAGGAACAATGGCAGTGCCTTCCACAATTGAATACAGCTGGTGTTGTTTAACTATCAAAAAACCTGTTGCTTCCACAAAAGAAAGTTGTCGTCATCAAGACACGCATTAATTTTTTTTGTTGGAAAAAGATCGTTGAGATTCTATAGTTAACAATGGAGTTGAAGTAGCCATAGATAGATAAACAGTGATAGAACGAAGTAAAGAAAATAATGGATAAAAATAAAGTTACCAAAATGGTAGCTCTAATATCATATCAAGTTCAGAAAAAAATGAAGAAGAAAGATATGAGAAGTGTTCAAATTTTATTAACTGAATACATTTGTATTACAGTAAAACTTTCATGTAATCAGATCAATCGTAACTAATGCTTAACTAATGTAATTATTATCTAACAAATTTAGTTACAATAGGAAGATGAAGTTGGGCTTATAGTCCGACCCATTACATGGATAGACATGCACGATTATAGAATATCTTCGTTCTACAATTTATCTTGTGTGTGCGAGTGTTTTTTTTTTTTCCCCGAATCACTTGTTAGCCTTTTTTTTTTTTTGCACACGTAGCATTTGTTTTACGAGTCGACGACATATATATAAAAATCAAATGCTAAACTGCCAACTTTTTTCTCGAAATATTATGATTGATCTCTAAATTGACTAATGCTTTAAATTAAAAAGGTTGTCGAATTGTTGTTGCTCAGGCCAGGCCCCAAAGTTTTCCAATTTGGGTTGACCTAGTGTCGGTCTTGTCATGAGCTGCCACATTAAATATTTATTTATTTATTTGGCGGTCCGTCTGTCCCATCTATAATATTCTAGCTATACCCACATCACCTACATTTGGCTAAAGTAACTATCCTATTTTCTTTAATTAATTACTGTTTATACGCTTCAGCTTAGTTTATTTATGTAACCAAACGCATCAATATTAATATGAATATTTATACACTATATATAATTATTACATTCATGAGCCATATATAAAATGTTAAAAGTAGGGAGCTGAGCTCGCTCATTATTCTATAGTGAATGAAACTTAAATTAGCAAAATAATATTGATTTTACCATGTAATAATAGAAATTCCTTTACTGTATTTTTGACATATAAAGGGGGGAAGTCTATTTTTTAAAAATATTTTATTTTATTTTTAAAATTAATATCAATATGAACGTTCAACACTTGATATAAAATATATAGAAAATTTTCACAGTTCACATTATTAAAAAATTAAAAATAATATGTTTTATTATTCAAATTTCATGTAAATGAATCCTCAATCAACTAGTTAAAAAAAGTAGGTAAAATAATTCTATTATCTAACTAATGCATTAAAATGAATTAAAACAGGTATCCTTCTATTACAAGTAATCTTATTTACTTTGTGATACTAAATATGAGAAAATTTAAATATTGGTTTGTCACTTTATGGTGGATTAACTTTTTTTGCTAAATACTTAGAATACTATATTTTTTTAATCATATTCTTAAGTTATGAATTAATGTGGATTATTTCTCAAATTTTTTGCATTAAAACTTAATTGTGTAAACATTATCTAGACAGAAATATTCTAACAGGAAGACACCTGTTTTAATATATGTTTTAAAAAAAATTGTATATGAAGAGTTTTATAAGAAGAATAGAATATACTACTACCATGATAGGTACCAGGACATAAAAATGAATTTTCAGAATTCTGACATTGAAAACGTTCCTTTTTTTTTTTTGGAAAAAAAAAGAGATATAATAATAATATGTAGGTAGAAGGAACCAAACCAAGAGACAAAGAAACAATGCAAGTGTCATGGATCTCCCAAGCTCTCAGGTCAATACTAGGTGGCATCTTTGATCTCTTCACCAAACGCCAACCTAAAGAATTTTCTCATGTCAAATCTCATTCTTCTATTTAAATGATGTAGCTTAAATAATTTTATCTCCCCCAGGGAGATACTAAGACTGTCAAAATAACATGTCATCTAAATTTAAAATTTTATTATTTAAACTTATGAGTTAATTTTTTTATTTTATTATATATTAATCATTAAGCTTAATTTTAGTTGATATAAAATTCTCTACAACGACTAAAATATACTCACACTTATCTAACAAAAAAACCTTAAATGTTGATCATGTATCTACGTATGCCCATTCATTCAGATTAAGAGTTTGTAACAATTTAGATTTAATTTTTTAATAAAAATATTATAAATTGACTTTTCTTCGTGATCCGATATATATATTTTATTAATAGAATTCACATGATATTTTATTAATTAATGGTTAGATCCATTTCCCCTAATGAGTTTCATGCCAAATTTATATTGATTTTCTTTTCATGTATTTTTCATTTGACTGTTTGGCCCACGCGAATGATGCAAAAAATGTTGCCAAAATCTTTAATGATGATAATTTGATATAATTAATTACGCATGGAAAATTTCCTTCATCACAAGTTAATTCCTTTCTTTTACGAACTTATATATTGAGAAGAAGAAAAATTCTTTTCAATCAATTTTTTCCGTGCAAGATACAGAGAAATTATCACATACATTTGAACCAGTTGGATGAATATACAACGAAATGAATGGAAGATTTATTTTTGGTCGTTTCCATATATTGTCAAAATTTTATCCATGTCCAAATTCGGTAGCTGTTAAAATCAAGTTCAAAGAATCATTAAATTAAATTATTAGAAAAAATAGTTAAATTAGGTTTTTGGAAAATGAACAAAACTTTATACTCTCTCCGTTTAAAAATGTAAGGTATTTTTTAAAGAGTTAAATGTTAAAAAATGAAAGGCATTTTTAATCTTTTGAATTATAATCATTGTCTTTATTTTTTAAAATGTCTCTATTAATAATAATTTTATATTTATTATAGGATATTTAATAGAAGTAAATATTAAAAAATAAGATTAATTAAAAAATAGATAATTACTTTATTAAGAAGTGAGATTTAATTAAATTTTTTTTACATTTTTAAATAGAGGGAGTAATCATATACCCCCCAACACAACGAGTGTGCTGCAAAGATACAGAAATTCAACAGCAAAAATCCAGGTTCGGTTTTGATGATTTAATTTGGTAATTCATCCATATTCTGATGATGTCATCGATTTTTTTAAATAAGAAAGATCATGTATTCTATTTTCATTAAAAAAGTTTTTAAAAAAGAATATATAATTTTTTTTTATTACTCACAAATTTCAATTAAAATAATCATATTTGAGACAAGTTAGGTATTAAATGTGGACACCTCTTTTAATAGGATTTAAAAGTTGGTTTGTTATATTATAAAAGGCCCACCCTTTTAGTTAGACTTGACTCTTATTGATAGGATATATAAAAATTTATTAACATTTATTCATACAGTAAAAACTTTAAATCTTAAAAAAAATTAAAATGACTTGACTCCCAACATTTGCCCAATAAAAGAAAAAAAGTGGCACCATAATTGTTTGAAGAAAGCGTCATTTAAAACCCCCCCCCCCCAAAAAAAAAAAGTTAAAATGAATGTTTTAAAAAATGTGGTTACAGAAATGAACTTTTTAGGGAATAATGATAAGTTTGGTACTTTGGTCAAAAGCTGGCCATGTTCTACACATTACAAAATAAGAAATATATTTAACGAATTCATTGTTCAATCTCGAGAAATCAGGTTATGATCCTTCCTATCACCTCCTTCTTCTCTCATCCTCCTCTTCCACAGCCTCCAAAATCTTGGTCAATTCTCTCTCTCTCTCTCTCTCTCTCGCTGCCACAAAGGTGGAGAAAAAAGGCAACTGTATTCCACAGTTATAATCCAATCACTTGGTAACTAAACTCTAGTCTCGATGATTCCCATTTTTCTTTCATTTCTTTACACAATATTATATTTCTCGTTTTCTGCTTAAAATACACACAAATGCCTCTCTCCCACCCCCCCCCAACCCCCTTCTTCCTCCACATATAAAAACACAGACACGCTTGAGTAGACAGCAGGCCTGCATTATATCCACATTATAGAGTCATGAATTGAATATTTGTTTTTTATCAGACAAGGAGGGTATGTTCTGTTATGATCGTCTACTTTTTGTACCGGCACAGAGACAAAGATCTCTTGAGGGTCTTGTTCTATGTTGTCGTAGCGGATTTCTATGTTTTTTATATTATATTTTGAATGGATGTGAAATAATGGATTAATAACAAAAGGGGGTTAATTCTTAATTTGTGTGCCTGAAAAGAAGAGAAATTTGATTTTGTGTTTAGAGAGTGCTTGTTGTATTGCAGCAACCACAAAGCGAAGAGACAAGAGGTTAGGCATGGAATCAGCCAAAGCTCCTGGAGGAGAGATTCGGAGACTTCATATAATCTACTTTCTCAGTCGATTAGGTGGTCGCATAGAGCATCCTCATCTCATTCGTGTTCACCATCTTGCTCGCAATGGAGTCTATCTCCGAGGTAGCTTCTTGTTTTTATAACTCTTCATTTCAGCCATCTCTCTTTCTGAAAATAGCCTTGATGGATTTTGTGCTTATGAATGGTCTTTAAGGAGACTTGTTTCTCTCTTAAGCAGATATCTACTCTGATACTTCACCTTCCTCTGCTTATGGCCATAGTTTTTTGTCTCTTTCTGCTTCTTGTCATCATCTTGTTCTTACTGGATTGTGAACTAAGAATGAATAATCAGGGTAAAGGATGAGCCTCTCAGACTTATTTTCTTTGTGTTAAACAGATGTTAAGAGGTGGCTCGGTGAATTGAGAGGAAAGGACTTGCCAGAAGCTTTTGCTTGGTCCTATAAGAGGTTCAATCACACATAACAATCTCAGTCCTTGTCCATTTTCTCTTTTTTCACTAAAAATTCCGTTTTGGCCTTCTGTAGGTATCAAAATTCAGGATTGCTTTTGTTTCCTTATAAAATTGATATTAGGATCATTTTTTGAGGGCCAAAATATAGTTTTGCTTTAAAAAAAAAAGGTTATCCTAGGGTGCTTCACTGGTATTATTTCAGTACATCAGAAGAATGAACTGATACTGATACATATTTGTGTGAGCCCCAAACTAATTGATATTGGACCCATGTTCGGAGGATCAAAATAGGGGTTCTTGTGTTTCTCTTTTTCTTCTCTACCAGTGCAACTGTCTATTTCTGAGATCAATTTGTAACTGATCAATATTGATTGGCAGGAGGTACAAGGCTGGTTATGTGTGGCAAGATTTGTTAGATGACGACCTCATCACCCCCATCTCTGACAATGAATACGTCCTCAAAGGATCACAAATCAACCCTACCCCATTGGGTCTGTACTTCTCTAGAAACTATAATAATTACTCTTTCCTCACTTTAATTTATCATCCATTTGTACATAAGTATGGGCACCCATAATGTTTACACAACCAGAGAAGTGTTCCTCCACTGATTTTCTAACCATGGCGTTTCCAAAAATAAAATGTATTGGATTATGCAGAAACTAGTTCACATGATGAGAAGAAAGCTTCCATTCCTAAGCAGCAACAATGTTTGACAGAAGAACCTAAGATTCAAACAAACCCAGATTCAGCAGCAGATACTCCCAGGAAAGTATCTTCAGAAATCAGCCAGGAATCTGATGGGTCAAACTTGACTGATGAATATGATTGTTCTAAGTTTGAAAGGAAGAAGGTTCCTAAACAGAACCCAGATGAACAAAATTCTGAGAGATTAACTGAGAACTACTCTTTGCCTCCTCCGTTGTATCAAAATCTGTTGAACAAGAAGAGTAGGAAACAGGGGACAAAAGATGAGATGATGAACAAGAACAAAACCGATACACCAGATGATTCATCCTTCTCTACGTCGTCGTCGTCGTCATCTTATTCTTCTTCAAAATTCTCTTTTGATAAGTGCAAAAGCTATTCAGCTAGGCGTTCTTTTGTGTTTCGCAACTTGATCACGTGCGGGAATGCTGATGTCAACGATGCAGTTCTTGTCATGTTGAACAAAAAAGAATCAAACAAGTCTAATGGTGAACCTAGTTCTGAGATTTGTAAGGCGGATAAATTGGGAGGATCAGCCAGGGGCTTTGCAAATTCATGGAAGCATCAGAAACATCAGCAATATGGAGCGAGGTGAGAAAATTACATGCAATAAAAAATTCAAGTCAATACTAAAAAATTCAAATCCAGTTTTTATTGAATTTTTTTTTAAAAAAAACATGACAAGTATTTTGGTCGATATATTTTGTTTACTAGAGAACTAAATGATAATTGTGTCTGTCATTAAAAAAAAAAAACGGAACTAAATGATAAACTCTCAGGAGAATTTACACAACTTTATTTGTTTTAAGATAAGTTCTTGATCTTGTAAATCAACTTCAACAATCAATATATACATAGACACAGCCAACAAGGTGTATTCAGTCGATAGTACTCATTGATTTTAGATATTTGTCTTAAATTAGGGCTTTTATTTTGTCCTTATGAAGTAGTCCTCAGTCTTAATTTATGAAATATTTTTAAATAAAATCACATAAATTAATAAAATTTATTAAATACACTTTATAATTTTTTTTAAAACAAAAAAATTTTTAAAATTTTTTAATTAATATTCCATTTATAAAAGAATATTAAAGAAAAAATATAATGGGAATGATAATATTAAAAAATAATTATTAATAAAATTTTATTTTTATCAAAGTGTTTTATATTTTAAAATGTTAAATCTTTCTCAAAAGTGTTTTATAATTTAAGAATTAATTTATTTTTTTAAAATTTATTTTTAAATGAGTGATGTGAGACTCATGTATTGATTTTATGAATTATGAAATTTTTTTAATTAATGTTTTTAATTTGAGAATTAATTTATTTTTTAAGTTTATTTTTAAATGAGTGATGTGAGACTCCTGTATCGATTTTATGAAACATGGAAATTTTTTAATCAAAATATCTCTTCGTAATAAGGAAAATTGTGTGATTTTGATGCGTTGAAAAACTTCGTTTTTAGCAGAAGAAGCTATGACGGGGGCGAAACAAATAGGAACAAGAAAAAGCTGGGCGACTTCATGACTCAAAATCATCCCAATCCATTTGGTGGACCAACGTGCTCGTAAGTGACTAGACATGTTGAACTATCTTCTTATCTAGCTCTTGTTACCGTTTCAGCAAGAGGGAATTGATAATTTTGTTCTTCATAGATAGGTTATTATTTTATATATTTTTAAAATTTTCATCCAACACATCCAAAATATAGAGAGAATGACAAATAAGAATCCTTAAAAAATATAAAGAACCTTTTACAACTGAAACATTAAGAATTTATAACTGAAATATTATGAATTTACAACTTAAAAGTCTTTCTTTTGGATTAATTTCTTCACGGAGGCTTCAATTGTCATTCTCCCAAAAATATATGTTTGTTACTTTATCTTCAATAATATTATAACTGTAAATCAGAAGGCAGAACTTAAGCTTCGTCAGCCATTGGTTATGTCACTGTGTCATCCTTTGTTGAGGTGAGAATGTAATAATGGAAGATAGGAATGATAAGTCAATTTAAATTAAAATAAGTTCATAGTCTGAATACCAAAATATATATCAATTTAGCCAATTCTATTATGGTCATTTTAATGGGGGATAATGGGATAACCACTTCCTAGTGGAAGGTTGTATGATACAACAAATGACAAATAGAACAAAGTCAAAATAGGTAAACTGAACTGACAAGTAGCGTAAGTTATTCAAAGTCAGATTCACAAAGCAAGTTGGCTTTTTTATACCAGTTAAATAATGTTAAGACTAATGTAATAGCAATTAAATGTCTCTCTCAGTCTCTCTCAGTCTCTCTCAACAGAAGCATGATTGTAACGTTCGATGTGATGATGCAGGCAATGTGGGAAGAAGTTCAGGCCAGAGAAAATGCATAAGCACATGAAGTCATGCAGAGGAATGAAATCCTCGTCAAGATCTGCAGAGAAGACAGCACCTCCCAGATCATCAACTTCCTCCAACACAGATTCCACAAACTTCATCCTCTTTAAAACATGAAATGCTTGGCTTCTATGTTCCATGTAGCGTCTTATTTTATAACTTGGCAATGCTCAATGAAATCAAGAGATTCTTGGATAACTGTAGTTTACATAAATAAATTGATTAAATCAATCCCCAAGAACCAGCACGGAGTTGACTTCCAGGGACACAGCTTGCTAGGAAGCAAGGAAAAGCCAAGATAACGAATAAATCCAAATAGAGGGAATAATTCACACAACAGCCAAATCTGCAGCTAAAGCATGTAACGTGGATTTAGACTAACAGTTATACACACGATCAGAGCACAGCTCAAAAATTTAAAAAAAAATAAAAGAAAAAAACTTGGGCACAAATATTTGTTGCCTGATGAGATTAGATTAGATTAGATTAGCCGTAACAAGGACAGAGATGCATCCTCGGATGAAACTTTAACACTCTTACCTACTTGTGTCAGCAGTCAGAAATGAGAAGCAACGTGTCAGATGAGAAACTCTAATTTTTTTAATTAATTCTCTTCATGAAGAACCAATTCTTCAAATACGACATTGTATCATATCTGATACACTATGTAATTTGTCATGTTGCAGAAGCTGTTTCATACCATCTTGTGTATCTATGTCAATGTCTGTGGTTCTTGGACATTTTCTTATTACTTGCTAGAGGCGATGGCAGAATTAACATGCTCTAACAGAAATCCATATAAACTTTTCCTTAGGTTTTCTACCCTACAATCATCCTTGTCTACTCCACCAACCAGAGCATCTAACCAGTGATTCACCTTCTTGAGCTGTCCAAGAAGGCTTGCTATTTCACTCTTTCCTTCCTCACTTCTTAACCCAAATCCACTATCCAAAGAACCCTCCAAGTACTTCAAAAACCATTCCTGGGAAGCCATGAGCAGTTTCTCTGCCAAACTTGCTGCCTCTTTCAGTCTGCTTTCTCTTCCTTGATCCACTTTTACAGCGTCCTTGTTCTTGGCTACTTGTGGATGCCTCTTGGAAGAAGGAACTCTTTTAACACTTGTATTAGGCTTCTGCTTGCTTTGAGAAGTGTTTTCAGTGTTCATTTTATCATGAGGATTTTCTATGACAACATAATGACATTTTTCACCATTTAAAGATTCCACTTTTCCTTCTGTCCTCAGTGTCCTGAACAGATTGAACGTGGAAAGATTAGTCTGCAAGGCAGCTTGTGCCCAACTCATAGCGTTCTTGGTAGGAGGAGCTCTGCAAAACACATCTTCACTTGTCTTTTTCTCAGGAGTGGGGATTAGTATAGAATCAAGCACCATTGTCGCTCTCTGCAAATTCAGATGAAGGTCCAGAAACTTTTCCACAAGTGATCCAGCAGAAAGTGTCTGAGAAGACTGACAGAGTTCCGTGAAGACACTGACAAAGAAAACTGAGTTATTGTAGCGGGTGAAATTATAAACCAAGGAAAGAACATACGGTGAAGCAAAGCAGAGAAGAAACAAATAGTATTGAAATACCAAACTGATAAATTTGCTTCCACATGTGACACCTTAAACAGATGATTTTAATAACCATGCAAACAAATTTAAAATGAGTACACTCAAGGAATAAGTGAAAAAACCAGACATATTTTACACATTTACTATAATGATGCGGATTCATAGATAGTCAATATGCATGTTGCAACTTGCAGGACAAGAAAGATACAATTCTCCCAATAACATGCAGGAAGCGCAGAAAGGAGTCAAAGAGCCATGGAAAAGCATACCACATGCATTGGATCACGCTATCAGCAGCTGAAGCTTCTTCAAGAGCACCTACAGCGGCGAAAAGGGCAATGTTCCTATGACTTGCAACTTTCTGGAAAGTGAAGAAAATGAAGTTAAAAATATGAACCAAAAGGAGTTGAAATATGGTAGTTCATAACAAGAAGTTGTATTCCACACCTTTCCAAGATTACAAAGAATAGGAGGAAGACTATCCCAAGCTGTAGACGGATCATACTGAGGCTTGATGTTGAGAGGCACTTTAACAAGATTGCTGTGAACATTACCCACAGAAGGCAACGACTTGGTTCTTTTTTGCTGAGGTGTGCTCGTCAATTTTGGAGAAAAGTTCTCATTTTTATTCTTTAAAGGTGAGATAGTTGGGTTTGGAGACTTGAGTGGAGAATCAATTTTAAGAGAAGCCTTCTTGTCAATCAACTACAGAAATATCTAATTCATAAGCTCCGCAAAAGTTACAAATAAATAATAGTGGAAAATACAAGGGCAAGACTCAAATAAGTTCGTTAATAAGAGCTTCAAAAGAGAACAATGCAAGTGGACATTTTGTGCAATTCAGCCTACATAATTGCCATTTAGTATATAGCTCGCCGACATGTCATAAATTTATAGAAGAACTTAGTGGCAAGCATCTAAAATCTTAATATAATCTTTTGCCAAAAATAAGCATTATTATTACTCAACAACCCAAGGGCCTACAAAGCGACCATCGCAGAGATATTAAACTCACACATTGATTAAGTGCTCCCTTAGGCAATTCACTTGACATTGTCCTCCGACATTTTTGGCTAGGTCCACTAATAGTTAAACCAAATCAATTATGAAGAGATATACAGATATTTTCAAGTGAGTTCTACGGAAAGTTGTGCTTGGCATGCTCTTCATTATGCGTTCAGTCATTTTCTCTTGTGCGTGTTTTTTCTCATATAATGTTCATAGTAATCATTAAAGGCTTGCGATAATCTGTTTACAAGGCCCCAAAGTAATAAAGTTTTAAAAAGCAAGAGACTGATGAGGGCCCTCAGTCATCTTCAATAGCAATATCTTAAACAAAGTTTATAACAAGTGTATATAACCCTTGGGTTTAACCACCAAAAAGAAAGAAATTCTCGAAGTTACAGCAAAACCTTTTACTTCAGACAATACTTTCCCAAATAGAAACAGAGTAACGCCACAATGCCAACAGACAAAGCAAAAGGGAAAAAGAAAAAGCTTTCATTTTTCAGATAAAAAGATGAAGAAGAGAAGGAAGACCAAGAAACGCACATTTGACGGAGTCGAGGTAGATTTCGATTTGAATCGCGACGTGGGAGTACCAGGACCCTGATCCCAAGCCCTTCTAGCTGAATCCAAACTCAATCTCCTCATCTCCGAAGCCTTGTTCTTTAATGGCGAACCTTTCTTCGACTTTACCTTCTCATCAACACCCACCATTTTCTTCACTACATTCCTGCTTCCTTTCTTGGGTTTTCTGAAATCGAGATTTGAACCAATAGTTAGAGAATCACTTGAGTTCAAATCTACAGGATTTCCAAGACAGGGCCTTCTGTTCGGAACAGGTTTCAAGCCGGAAAGAACAGGAACAGGGGAAGTTGAGTCGAGGTCGAGTCGAGCGACGTAAACGAACTGACCCAGTTGGATCTTGTCGCTGTAAATCAAATCCACATCCTCGTCAGAAATGGAAACGTAAGCGGAGTGCTTGGAGTCGGAGACTTTAAGGAAGTACCCTCTGCTCTGCCAGGGATCGTCTCCCCCGGCGAAACAGGGCACAATCTCGATCACCTGAAGCAGAGCAGAACGGTGCTCGCCGGTGACCCTCACATTCTTGTTTCCGGCATTCTCCAGAAGCTTGGAGAGCACTCCCGGAGTCAGAGACGCCATGGAATGGCTTCTTGAAGCTCCTCTTCTCCCTGGAAGGCGCCGAGTTTAGAAAAGCAGAACAAGGCGCGCATTGGGGGTGAAGAGTGAGGAGAAAGAGTCGCTGTCGAATCTCAATGTGACATGGGAGACGTCGCAGCTTTGGCAGAGGAAGACGACAGGTGTCAATGGAAAGAAGTGCTTTTTGATGTAACTCGGCGATTGGAAGTTCAAGAGCAGACAGAGAGAGTTCTGAGGCTTATGCCTACAAAGCTAGTAAGGACAAAATCGAGGAGGCTCTTGCACGAAATATTAAAAAAGCCGCGAATGAAGAAGTGCTCGTATTGATTAATATTTATTTAATTTAATATATTTTGTTCAGAACGTAATTTGGATAATATAATGTGTTGCCATGCCCATCCATCCATGATAATATGCCAGTATATGCATATATGCCACACTATAATGAATAAGAAATGTAATGATTAAATGATTAAAATATATTTACATAAGATTTGTGTAATAATTGCATTTAAAAGACTATTTTATATTTTAAAATAATTAATTTTTCAATTCATTTTTTAAATGTAATTAAAAGTTAACTCTTGAGTCCATTGGTTGGCTCAAAACTTTTTGTATTTTATTTGTTTAATTCCACTCTAATTTATTGTGTAGTCTAATTTCATCACATTATAAATAATAAAGCGATGCTAATGCTATACTATATTTTACGACAAAGAAATAAATATATTTATGAGGTTTTCTTTCATTCTTTTATGGGCAGAGGGAAAAACTAATGATCACAACGACTGATAGAGGGTCAGAGAGTCACAAGGGAGTATCAGGGTCATCAAATGATGGATTGAAATCACCGTGAAAAGCTTCAAGTCAGTGAGATTGGCGTGAAATAATTAAATAAATAGAGGGAATTATAAATAATATTGTTTGATTTTTTTTTAATCGAAAATATATTTTTCATGTATATTGTGGCACTGGCAACAGCTAGTCTCAGCATTAACATTGGCCATGCAGGCTGCATTCAGTTTTAGAAACTTTTAAATCTTTGGTATTAGGCCCTTGGCCCTTTATTTTTTAAAAATATCTTGGGAATGTACGATTTCGTATGCTTTATTTATTTGTTTTTTTTTTAAATCTTATTAGGTTGTTTATACTTCATGGCTGTTTGGATTGCAAAATTAATTGATTTTTTTGGGGAAAACTATAGTTTCAGTGAAAAACTCCCAAACACCACAAATTATTACTAATCAATTATTTAGACTTGAACCACGTTTTGTTATAAGCCATGGGTTGGTAGCTTCTCTCAATCCATTATTCATTTAGGTTTATGACAGAAGCAGGATTACAAAATGGGTGGTATAGATGAATGGGAGGAATATTGGGTCAAGAAGTAAAATGACAAAGATATCTTGTCAAGTCTGGTGAAATTTTTTCCTCTGTTATTTTCTGCACTTTCTATAATTAATCAAATATATAAGTTAAATAATATATTTTACTTCTTTAATAAAATTTAAAAAATTTAGTAATATTATATATAATTTTATTAATAATTTAATTTTTAAAAATAATGTCTTCATGATAATTTATACAGTTAAAATTAATTCTGATTAAATTATTTAAATATTTAATTCTGTTAAAATTAATTTCAGAAAAACAATATCCAAACATATTACATTATAATATTAATCAATTATAATCAAAATAATTATATTAATTAATTATTTTTATAATCAATTATATTTAATTGAAATCTAAATAGGCCCTCCGTCTTTTAAAATTTTTACATCTCCCAGGAAAAAAAAATGAGAGACACCCAAGTTTATTGTTGTGTGAAGAAAAATGATGACACAGGTTCAAAATAGAATCTATTGCGAAAAAAGGCATTAAGACTTATCGTTAATATAATTTAATTCAACATAAGTGAGTTCTCAGTCTCAAGGTCCAATCCAAGTTATTATTTAATATCAAAATAGAAGAAACATCCTGACAGAGCTTTCTCCTCATTAGGGCTCCACCAACCTTGGATGAAAATTAAATAATAGAATCAAAGTGATTGTAGTGCCTTCATGGGGCTAAAATATATTAAGAAATTTTATTACAAATGTTTACTGTATGAAAAATGTTGTTTTCCTCATTTTTCCTTAATTAAAAATTTTGTTTACCATATCATATCTTCATTTCTCCTTCGAAAAACCACTACAGATCCAAAAGTCGCCGACCTCAATCGTAATCGTCGAGGAGAGGATCTTCAACACTTAACAGAAATGAGGGTAGAGACAGTTCTTGCTGACGAAGAGACTATCCTGAAAATCAGAGAGGAAAGAAGAGAAGAGACATCCGAAATCGCTTCGTCGAGACGATAAAAAGGCATGGCAAATGATAAACTGATAAACTAACTGCAACCTGCTTTGGTATCATAATATTATTTTGAAAAGCTTACTTTAAAAATAATTATAAAAAAATAGAACATAGAGTTGATTAATGCGATGACCCCACAAATGATGGATTATGGAATTGCATGCCTGCCTCAGGGACTGACTAGGAACTTTCCTTGTCTTTGAGTAACCTTTACACTAATGAGAATCATGTTCTACGTAATAATACATGCAAAGCCTTACGAGATGTTGGGCCCTCTATTTCTAAACTTGTAACATAACCTTTTTTTTGGCTATCCAACTTGTATTTCACATTCATGGGTCCACCTAAGCTAAGCCTACCATCACCCTGGTTTGGAACTTTCACAAGCTTAAAATAACTCGGCCCAGCCGGCTTGAAATGACCAAGCGGTAAGACCAGATTGGGGCTAGGTTTGACCTTGTTCAAAATCACAAATCACATTTCCAAAAATAAAAACAACTGGAATACGATTCTGTCATGGGAACATAAGTATACGGACAGATGATATCCAAAACATCAGTATATTAGGCAGAAGAGCTATTTATATTTATAAACTTTATTTTACTTGTGAAGTTTTTTTGTATAGAACTCCTAACAAATTCTTTCATGCTTTTTTTTATTTTTGGAATGGAAAGAAAATAGACATGAAAAAATATGGGAGAAAACTACTGAAAAAATATTTTGCACCGTTATTTTCTCTTAATTTTTTTTTTAAGATGGGAAAAACTGAAGCAAAATTTTATGCTAAGAAAAGAAAACGTCCTTTTCTTATACTTTTATTTCTTAACTTCTTTTTCCTTCCTATTTTCATATATCCCACCCGAAGTGTTGGGCTGATTTTTCCCCCCAAGTATGTGAAGCTGCATGTAGAAACACGGTATCAAAATATATATATATATATATATATATAATATCATAATCAACAAAGGTTAGTCTCAAATAGGACCTTGTTGATAAGTGATATATAAATATTTTTATAAGTACTTTTTGAATATAGAGGCATGCCTTACCTAATATATAAATATTTTTATAAGTACTTTTTGAATATAGAGGTATGCCTTATCTAATGAGTTCTCAAAACCCAACTTACTTAAGCTTTTTTCTTAAAAAAAATGATATTATAGTGTTAACTGAAGCTAACTAAGATGGTAAGGGTGGAGTAGAGTATAGGCAAGGGTCATAGGATTCAAACCCTGCAATATATTAAAAACAATGCAGTTATTATAGTAAACATGGGATATGAGAAGCCGAACAAAAATTTAAAAAGGTTAAGGTGTGAATAGGTTTTAGTGCAAGTGAAGAAAGCTGAAGAGGAATTTTGCTTCTTCCACAAAATTTTCATTTTAACAGCAACCAAACAAACAATCCTTGAGAAAGTAAAGAACAAGGACTTTCAAAATGTTCACACACATACACAGAGGCCTATAACTGGGTTAGGAGAAACAAACTTTGAAATAACCAAACAACTTCAATTCTTTTGGGCAAGTGATAGAAAAATTCACCAAGTTAAAAAGGACAGAACTTGATATCTTTCATACCTTAAGCCAGAAATTAAAATATCACAGAAGACATGCATTGTAAGGAAAACTTTATCTACCCATGTCCTTTTGCTTTGGCTTTATTCCCATTTTGGTTTGTTCCTCTCCATCCTGCTCTCTTCTTTCCACCATCCTCTTTGAGAAATAGAAAATGATACGGTAATTGCAAGAATTTATGATTTTTTTTATTTCACTTTAATAGCTTGCAACTTTTTTTTGGTAATTAATTGTTGAGTATTTTTCTTTTGATCTTATATTATTTTACGAAGAATTTAAACTATTGGTGATTTTGATTTCACTTATCATGTTTCCCTTCTTTTTTTGGTTGTATTTTAATTGAGTTAAGAAAGATCCAAGGTGACCGATGGGAGTCCTAGATAATATGATAAATTAAGGTTCAAAATCTTATTTAAAGAGATGATCATGTTTAATGTTTTATTGTACCTCGAACATAACTAACTTCAATAAAAGAACACTTATATGGAATTAAGAAAGACCCAAAGGCGTGTTTTTTACCAATGTCAGGATCCCCATATAGAGAGAAATCATTCTCTTTGTTTTTTTATTCTAGGGTGAAAAAATAACCTCTTTATAATATTACCCCTATAAATAAAAGTAGCGAGTATCAATGTTATTTATTTGAATAGGTGTGTGTCATAATTGTGAGAAGTATACAAGAAAATTATAGTCAAGGATTGTTGGAGGAATCTTTTTATAGACAAATAACAAATAATTTTAAAATTATACTACAGGATTAAGAAATCAAAATGTAATTAAATTTTAGTGTAAAAAGACAAAATTTTTCCTCAATTTAAAAAAAAAAACTCCTCAATCACCAAATGTCGAAGCTCAAATGCCAATAGTCGAATTGACCATTTGAGCTCCAGCAGCAATAGCTAGACCACAACCGGAGCTTCGATGTCGATCACTAAATCAATAAGGGAGGTAGACTATTTTTTTAAGGTGGCTAAGGTAAGGTTTGAACCTACATTTTCTTGGTCACCAAAAAGTTTGTTAGCCACTAGGCTAACAAATTCTTTCACTTGTATAATGCAAAGTTATATATATATATATATAACTTTGTTTTTACTTTTCATGCCAATATTTATCAAGAGTTCAATGGTTATTTGTCATTTTATAAATGACTATTTGTAAAACTACTAATAAGACTTGTTAAAAAAATTAATACGCACTGATTTTTATAAATGCTTACTTGTTTTTATTAATAGGAATGACAAGTTTTCATTAGCAATTTAATAAGTAATTATTGGTAAGATGACAAATCTCATTACTCACTTTGAAAATTTTTCCTCATAATTTGATAAGTAAATTTTAATAAAATAATAAGTTCATATAAGCTTTTGACATGTAAGCTTTTAATAATAAGAAAAGTAAATATTTATAAAAAAAACACTCCATATTAAATTTCTTTGATAAGTTTTCATTAGTAATTTAACAAAATAACCATTTATGAAATGACAGACCTTGTTACTAATTTTGAAAATTTCTCTTAACAATTTAATAAGTAAATTTTAGTAAAATAGTAAGTTCATATAAGTTTTGACATGTAAGATTTTGGTAATAAAAACAAGTAAATATTTATAAAAAAACACTCCATATTAAATTTCTTTGATAAGTTTTCATTGATAATTTAACAAGTATCCATTTGTAAAATAACAAGTCTTGTTACAAAGTTTATTTCACAAATGATTACTAGTTAAATTATCAATGGGAACTTGTCAAATAAATTTAATATGAAGTGTTTTTTATATAAATTTTTACTTGTTTTCATTACCAAAAGCTTACATGTCAAAAGCTTATGTGAACTTATTATTTTACTAAAATTTACTAATCAAATTATCAAAAGAAATTTTTAAAGCTAATAACGAGACTTGTTATCTCATAAATAGTTACTTATTAAATTGTTAATGAAAACTTGTCATTTCTAGTAATAGAAACAAGTAAGCATTTATAAAAATTAATGTGTATTAAATTTTTTAACAAGTCCCATTAGTAGTTTAACAAGTAGCCATTTATAAAATGACAAGTAACCATTTATAAAATGACAAGTAATCATTAAGTTTTTAATAAATGTTGGCATTAAAAGTGAAAATAGAGTTAAATATATATATTTATATATGTATATATATAACTTTGTATTATATAATTAAAAGAATTTGTTAGCCTAGTGGCTAATAATTTTTTTGGTGGCCAAGAGGATGTGAGTTTAAACCCCACCTTGGCCACCTTAAAGGAAAAAAAAAATAGCCTACCTCTCTCATTAGTTTGATAATTGGCACTGTAGCTCCAATGGTGGTCTAGCCATTGTTGCTAGAGTTTAAATGGCTGGATTGGCCATTGGCGTCTAAGCTTCGACCGTTGGTGGTTGAGGAGTTTATTTTTTAATTGAGGGGCAATTTTATATTTTCACATTAAAAATTAATTATATTTTGGTCTCTTAATTCTGCAACATAATTTCAAAATTATTTGATACTTGTCTGTCCATAGGTTCCTCAAACAGTCCTTGGCTGTAATTTTTCCAAATTATGTCATGTATGGTTCACTGGAGCTGGGCCAGGGGAAACATGGTGACGGTCCAAGTACACTAGGCCATGGCCCATTAAACACTATGGAATTTCCCAAAAAGTTTGTTGTCATTTCCTTGTTATTAATTTGGATCTCCAGGTTCATTAAGGAAAAAAGGGTTAATCTTTCATCTTTCACGAATGAGCAATCAGAAAGCAGACATTTCACCTCTTTGAAAGGCCTCTAAACTAACCAACTCCTTTGGTTTGCTCTTTAAGAAACTCAGCATCACCACACTTCTCTTCTTCTTTATCATTCTTGAAGGGCTATATGGTATGTCTGATAAACACTTCATAGTTGCAGAATATATAGTATCCACAAGCCAATATCCAAACACACTCCAAGCTTGTGTTTTTTTCTTCTTCCTCAGAAAATGAACTCTCTATCCCCAGCAACCAAACACAGATATGACATCACCATGTCCAGAAGAACCAGAAAGCAAACATCTTCTGAGAAACCCAGATCAGATGCTATTGCTGACTCAAAGAACAGAGACAATGGCATTGTGGTGTCTCTGGAGAATCTTCTGCAGGTGAAAGATGGTGAAGAGATTAGTGATCATAAGAGTTTGAAGCAGCTGATCAGAGGGGATAGTGAGACTAATCATAATAATAATAATAATAATAAAGGAAGGAACTCACTGGGACAGCACTTCCATGAAGAAGAGAAGAATCTGCAGGTGGTGAGGAAGAACCAGAACGATAGTGTTCAAGAAGGCTTGAAGTTCAAGAAACTGGTGAGACGTTATGCAAAGGTTCTGGGCCACATGATGAAGGCCAAGAGAGATCCTCATTTAGGTGAATCTGGGAAGAAACCTGTTTTCAAGTTACCCAAATAGAAAATTTTTTGTTTCATCATCATGATCATACTTCTTCTCTTGTTCTTCAAGCATCGCTTGTAGATCAACTTGGTTTTTCAATCATTTTCTTGCATCATCTGAATACTCTGGCTGTCGTTTTTAATAGCATCAAGTTAGTATTTTTGCCTTCAATTCTGTTTGTGTTAGATTTGTTGTGTTATCGAGTGTGTACTTGTTAGCGATCAGACGAGTATATAAAGATATATGTTGAATCTAATTCAGCAAGATGATATGTATGTGCCTGCGTGCGTGTGTTTGATGGCAAAATGACAACTTGTGTATTCGAATAATTTAGAAAATAATTGGAGAACCAAATTAATGTATGAACTAGTTAGTTTGCTCTGTTTTGAATTCTTGTTTGATTCTTGAGAGACCAAATACCATACAAGGATTGTTATTTCCTGAACAAAGCAATTTACTAAATTTGCCTGAGATATGTAGTAATATTAAGTTTCTAGTAGAAACTGTTATTTTTCCCTTATGTAAACTAGTAATTTTGTTCAAATCGATTATTAATATGGTGCTCTTTCTCTATTTGTTTTGTGGAATCTGGGGGAAAGCAATTTATTGAACAAAGTGGTCCAAGTTTATTTCAAGAAGTTTTGTTGGTTTGATTTTGATATCCACTTAAACTTGAATTCAAATATTTTTAGCTTAGAAGACAACTCTAACGTCACTGAATCAAACCTCATCATAACAAAATAATCAAGAAACTTCAAGCGGCTCAAACCCAGATAAAAACTTGTGGATGACAATAAATTTTTTGTTTTTTTGGGTTTTCTGAAAACAAGTTTTGATGACATTTCTAGATTTTTCATTGAAATCTTTTCAGTGATAACATATCATAATTAAAAGGTAGTAACACCTTTCATGAGATTTTCTCTCAGTACTAGATGTCATGGAAAGTATTTTCAAACACCAATAGAATTGCAATATATGTTTTTCATGTCTCATGATAATAAATTAGAAAAACATATATCGTGTTCTGGTTCTATAAATTAGTCAATTTTCAGAATAAATTGATAGTTTTATACACTAGTTACTTTTATTAAAAAAGTGAAGTAGTATTAATTAGCCTTTTTTCAAAATCATCCTCATTTACAACTTACAAAAATTTTCGTTTTTAAAATTCATGCTTTCAAGTTTTAACTAAGGAGCAACCCACTCACTCCCTGGATATCTTCTTCCCTCATTCCAATAAAGTTGTAATATTCTAACAGAAAATGTTCGTACAGAGTTTGACAATTTCGACATGCCAAAAGAATAAGGCTTTTATAGTTTTTACATTATACACATTCAATCTAGAATGCGTAAACTGCCAGCATTGTATCAGCAATATTCACGTTACGGATCTGACAAGTAACTCTCATGAAGAATCATCATTACCCATTCATTTACCTTGTTCATCACTTTACACACGCACAGCACAAACCAAAGATCCTACATCATATAACTTAATCAGCAAGATTGTCTATTAGAACTATAACTTTCTGCTAAGGATCTTGAGAAATAACCCAGAAAATGCAGAGCAATCATCTTTCTCCCTTCCTTAAGACTTCAACGTGGTGTTGAATGTCAAAATATTACAAACTTCCTGTGACTATTTTTTCAATTTGAGACCTTCAGGTACAAACTATCTATATGAAACAGTGAGAGCACTTTTCTTTGAATAACATTTGGAGAGCTTACATATATACATTCATATTTTTCAGACAAATTAGCGGAGATTCAATAGATATAAATATCTTGCTAAAAAAAATGAATAATTTCTCGATGGCTTCAATGTATAGTGCCTTTGCGCCACCTGATATATCAGTCAAGTGAAGCAGAATGATGCTAAAATCTTCATGGACATTGGAGGACTATACTAACAAGGGCTCCAACAAAGGCCTGGGACGAGGGTGAAGATCCATAGTGAAAGTGACTATAAGTCCAACCAGTGAACAAATTGCTGGAACGAGTCCCAAACCAAATCTTGTGATTGACACGGGGAATTGCATTCCTTGAAGTTGAGGGGAGGAATCTGCATTGATGATTTGAAAGACCATGAACTCAACTTCTCAAAACAGTTTCTGCAGAAGATACTATAAACACAAGATTTTTCTAACAATGCTACTGATGAGTTCCTTGAATATCAGAGGATGAAGATATTAGCTCATCTAAGCATTTGAATTTCATACTATTGAACGTGAAGCATCTTAAAAAATCTTCTTTGGAATATATGTTCAGTAATACGGTCAAGTATCAGTTCAATCAAACTTTTACATGAAGCAACATAAACTGATTTGTCATGTTCCCCCGACAAACACACCCCAATGACACCAAAGTTCATTAATCTTGAAATATCGACATAGCATGGATCAACCATACGCTGTGCTGAAGCATTGATAATGAGAGTGAGAAGTGGGAAGCAATCAACTTCTAAAGCTTAAGCTTTTATGTAAAGGCTAGAGACCCTGATATTCCTGACAAGTACCAATCTAGTTTGGTAGGTTTATCAATACAAACTGCAAATCTAATTACAATCACGTCTTTGCCCCAAAATTAAAAAGCAAGGGTTATAAATTCTAGAGAGGCATTAACCAGAATTTACTGACACACAGAAGAAAGTAGCGAAAGCGGCTCACAGAAAATAGACAGATGAAGCATCCAAGCATTCAGAACTAGAATTAAAGCAATAATGATTGTTTAACCAACTTACTTTGATAAGACTGAAGAATATATAAAGCAATCCCACATGACATTTTGTCCAAGAAGCTCAGTGATCCACAAACAAATGCACAGCCATTAAGATCCTCTCCAATGAGAAAATTTTGCATGCTTACTCCAGTCACCTATTGTAAAAGCCAATAAATATCCATGTATCACACATAATTAATTTATAGTAGCTTGTAATATGCTAGTTAAAACCAGCGACAGTATATCCATCATAGTGTTTTCTCTAATTTACAAAAATAGCTAAAATTTAAAACCAAGCAAAAGAAGAATCCTGCGTTCATGTCACTTCTTCTAATTAACAATGTATACTTAGAACATAACTTGACAGAGCAAAGGAAGAAGAAAACAAGGAGATTTATAACTCAAGTATTCTTGAGAGGTTATAAATATTTAAACTTTCTTTGAAGAATTAGATAAGTTTAACTGCTTGTGCACAACAAATCCCTAGAAATATGATCCTTTTTTGTTACTGGGAGTGCTTCATATAACTATCAGTATGAGGTTAATAATGAACAGCTTTTATCTTATTGTTCTGCGAATTTAGTGCCAGAAAAATTTGGAAGAAAAATATGAAAATGTAATTGTTAAGTTACCTTCTCATTTTTGGGATAAAATAAGTTACCATCTTTAGTAATGATAAAAGAAAGTTTATCAGAAAGAAAGAAGGAATATAAGCAAGCATTAAAAATGGGAATTATTCTTCACCAAAATCAATAATTTTAGTCTCTTATCCAGTTTGCTGTTTCATCACACATATAGTTCTGGAATATGGAAATTCTTATAAGGAGTGGTAAACTTCCATAAGATAATTATTTACTAGTCAGTATTTGTTCCAATTTTTATCAAGGGACCAAGACACAGTCACTAAAATATCCAATTATCTGAAATTTTGAGAGTTGGGAAATTGTTACTAAAATAATGCAAGAAGTCCAATCAGTTTGCCCCGCCAAGTCAAGCAACCTGTGGCTAAGGCAGTTTTCTCAGTAAATATGGCCACAAAAAATTGATCCCCCTTACTTCAGATTTATTTTGTTGACTAATGTCAACACATCCAGCTAACAAGTAAAATGAAAAGTACAACACTGGCATACTATCTTTTGCTTTTTCTTTCGATAAGTAAATGATGTGAAGATAATGTCATACCATGATCAGTGCATTTGCTATGCCCATAAATACTGATGCTATGTACATGGCATAACTCATATGTCTGGGTAAAAGAAGAACCACTAGGCCACAAAGCATCCAAAGAATGCCTCCAGCAGAGTAATAGGCCTTAAGACGTGGGCCAGTCCATGCAATCTCCTGAAGGGAGGGAACTAGTTTAACAATGGAAATTGACAAAAAGAACATTGAAATATACAAGAAGGATCCATTAAGTGTCTTATTTTATATGGGGACCTGTAAAAGAATAGATACGATGAAGCTGCAGATGTAGATGATAGCAGGAACCTAATTCCATCATCAGATAACATAATCAGCCATTAGCGTCATGATCCAAAGTACATGCACTCAGCAGAATTAGTGACTTTTAAAGCAAATGAAATTTGTCAAGTACCACAGCTTTGGCTGATTGGCCCATTTGTAGATCATTGATGACAAAGAATGCAAGGTATGCCTGCGGAAAAGAAACCATTCTGATGTTTAGATATACCATTCATCCATGTGTTACTGTTAGTTTTCTTTGAAAATCCAAATTAAGCATGTAATTTCTCTTTTATTAATGTTATAGGCATCAAGAATGCAAGGTATGCCTTTGGAAAGTTATGTTGCAAAGCTATGTTTGGCACCTGGAAAGTTAGGTATGGAAAGGGAAACGAAGTGGAAAATGGAGGGGAAATAACCTCATGATAAAAAGGGGCAGAGACAGTGTTGAGTAAAACAAGGGCATGATTGACAATACATAAACTTCCTGTTTTTCATGAATTCCTCTCCATCTGCCTAGTACCTAACATGATCTAAATATATTCTTCCTCTAGACTAAAAATAAAGCTTTTCTTTCCTCCTATTTCAAGGTCACCAGCATAAATAAGCAAGAAAGGATGAGTACTAACCTGCGACACGTTGACAATTAATCTTGTGAGGACATAAACAAGAGCAACTTGATAATATAAAACTCTCTTAAACCAGTAAACCCATGAAATCCTTGCGTGAACCTTTCCTTGTACCCCAACTTTCAACCTACAAAGAAAAAGACAATAATTTGTCATTTCTCTCAATAGCTATAACCATAGAAGCAACCCATGTTGTGTAACAATTTTGGTAAGAAGATGATAGAATTATTTGAATTATCGACAATGGTTTCTAGGGCTTCATCAAATATAATTTATATAGTCATATTGGCTTTTACTTAACAAAGTTTGTATATGCTTCAGCAGTTGATTAATCTAACTTTAAAATGTAGGCCTTACAACTTTTCTCTCCCCCCTCCCTCCCTCCCTCCGCTTTGCCAGGGCAGGGGGCAGGGAGTGTGCAATGGGTTTACTCCAGCATTATTTTGCCTCATCATTACTCCTAAAGGTCAGCAAAAGTGATATCTTAATAATTCATCTATAAGATAAACTTTTCAATTGTATGGTATGACTACTCTGATTAATCTGCATAGAATTAATTCTAAAAATGGAAGGGGGAAAAAAAAAAGGCAAGTCCACAAGCATACCTGGGCTCTTTGGTTGCAATAAGAAATATGCCCACAAAGCAGCATCCAATAAAAATTGACAAATATGCAATCCAGCGGTACTGCTCATTTGCAATAGTAATATAATGGTTATGCCCAAAATAAACTCCACAAGATAGGTTGAAAAATTTAGAACTATGCATACCTCATTCTCAACATCAACATATGTTCTTACAGTATTGACATTGAATACCACGAATGCAATTACATACAGGCTGAGATTGGCAACCTTCAAAAGATATTGTTAAATATATTAGTAATTCATATCAATAAATTAATAATTAAAATATCTTTTATTGGATTGCATGCATTTTTTACTATTTTAGTGGAGGGATAGGGGAGGTATGAGGAACTTTATATCAGAAAAGAGAAACCAATGAAATTTACCATGGTAAATGCATTGCGACAGCTAGCCAATGCCACCCTGCTTGAAGAGTTTAGAGTGATGCAACTAATCATGGACCTATCATATCAACAGGGGGGAAGCATCAATAATTCTATATTTCTAATTCCAAAAGTATGTAAGCTTTTTGCCCAAGAAATTTTTTTCATCTGCACAGGATATGTAGAACGAGTTTGGAGCTTCTTGATTGAAGGAATTTTTTAATGAATCCACTTGTTAAGATTCATACACTACTCCATATAATTTTGAGACTTTTAAGTTCCTGATCACAAGTTGAATGTAACGCAGAAATAATCAACATCATATATCCAATATAATAAATTAATAACAATTCATTTCATTCAAAAGTCCAAGAGAAATCCTGACAAAAAAAAGAAAGAAAGAAACTGCCTATCTTCTGTTGTTATCAAGTAATTTTTTTCTCCTCCCAATTTCAGGAAAGAAAACTTTGTCAAAATGCCAAGATGTCAACAATATGAAGATTATTGAAATTCCTAGCTTAAGCTGACAAGGGGAGGGATTAAGTAACACTTCAAACGTAACCTTCACTATGAGCCAGCCATTTTTGGTATTTAAGATTTTGTTTTTTAATCAACATTTATTTTTAAGATTTGATACTATAAATGAAAACATCAAATGGAAAAAGATAAACTTGAGGAAATTATTACATGTGGGACACCTGAGTAGCAGCCCAGCCCACATTGAAGATTGCAGCAAACACACTGTAATTCACAGTTTGAAATATTGATGAACTGGAGCCAAGGAGTTTGCATGGTAGACAGTTCCCAAAAACAGAAGAAAATGAAACAGCCACCAACAAAGATCCTGCACCATGCCATATCTTGAAATGTCCAAATCTGTCCATCTATCAAGCAAGGCAAAAGAAATAAGTCTTTCTAACCAAAGAAGGTCAGAAAAGCTCAATGAAGAGAAAATAATCAATAGTAACGAAAACAAGTAGGCAAGAAGTAGAATAGTATGAGGCAATTAAAATCAAGTATTTGAATTGGGGCTGTAAGGAAATAGAAACAAGAAGGTACTTTGATATAATAGTAGAAGGATTTAAATGAACTTAAAAATTTTATCTGATATTGAAAGTCTATAAAATAAACTCAGGTAGGCAGGATGAAAGTTCAGCTTAACTCAAAAGCTCTAAAGTTAGATCACTCTAACCATTACAAAGTCTAGAGCAATATGAAGATAGAAGTAAAAGAAAGGGGAAAATGTTTAAATACCAGTTCACCAGCAAAGATGGTAGAAAATCCATCAGCCACCTGACCAGAAAGCATCACAATAGCTGCATTCCTATTAAAAGAAGGGGAAATGTTCATCAAAACTAGAAAGAAAGGAGAAAAATATGGAAAATTTAAACAAAATTGTTTAGCAGCAAGACCAAGATTTCACGGCATTGTGCAAAAATTGATTGCATCTTCCATTTTGAAAATCATATATTATGTCAATATATATTACACAATATTAAAACAGCCTGAACCAATGATCCATGAACAGTAATATATCTTTGTCTATTACATGCAACTTCCTAAGATGGGGAAAATGACACAGCAAGCATATTTTCAAAATCTCACCACCCAACTTGGCTTACTGCATCTCATTGTCGTCGTTTAGCTCTATCAAAGAACATTTTTCATTTTGCAATTTAAATTAAACCATGTGCTTGTGCACCCAACAGTTTAACAAGTAATATCAAATTACCAGCCAACAGCAGTTAAGTTTTCACTTACTACTATCAACGAGCAGTTGCGACATCAGTTCCACTGTTTGACAAGTGCAATAACAAAAGGAATAAAAAAAGACACTCTTGAGCAAGTTGTACCTAGGTGAAAATCCAATATCCGTCAAGAACAATAATAGGTAGGTAAACCAACAAGCAGCAGTTATGTCATTAAGCATGTGTCCCGTGCCATAATAGAAAACTGGCCATCTTCCTAGGGGCTTAGTATATGACTCGTCGTCTTCAACAACAGTACCCATCAAAGCCCCTTTGATAACCTGCAAGGTGTAAATTGATACTTTAGCAAGAAAGCTGAAAACACAATCCTTCCTGAAGAAGGAACAGTCTCATTTATGTCTGGGTTTCTTCTTCTTCTTCTTCTTCTACTAAATTTCTGAACAGTTATATCCACCGTCTACAGAATAAGCTCAAAATTGAACCTAAAGCTAAATAAGTAAGGAACTGAATCTTTAAAAAATGAAGTCTCTTGGAAATTTATTCATTTTGATTTCTGCCATAAAGAATTTCTTTGGAAATGACAAGCAGAAACACCAACAATATCAAACATAACAGAACATCTCCTCCAATATACATAAAATTAAATGGTGACAGCCCTCAACTTGTGTAAAAAGGAAATTGTCCTGATCAACCGACGACTCAATAAAACATAGAAAAGAAAAGAAATTATAACATTCAATTTCTTCACTGTAAAGCCTTTTCTCACCAAGCTCCATTTTCTTTTCCAATATGAGTTAAAGCCTAAAACCAGGTCATCTTTCAGCAGCATAATAAACATAAACATCCAAGAAGACATAGGGAAAAGAAAATATCCAAATAACGGTCAAGGTAAAGCTGGACAGCGAAAATAGTATGCATATTAGAAAATATCAGCAGCAGAACAAAAGCTTTTATGACTCCAATAATTATTTCTTTAAAACACACAAACACAGGGGAAAAGAAATATAACCCAGAATTATATTCAGTATTCAATCAACTGGGTCATCGAAATTGCGTAGATTCATCAGAAAAACCACCACCTGTCTAACACTCCGATCCCTGCGGAATTAACTAAATCCCCACAACCCCCCAAATTCTTCTTCTGAGAATACCCAGAATAAGGAAATACGAAATTGGTACGTGTTCAGGAAATAGGTATAGACTAGAGAATTATACTTACAGGAATAAGAAGCGTAGCTACCAAAGGAAACCCATCATGATCAATCAGAGATAGCCGTCCTTACAGTTGAAGTGCAACTGAGAAACCGAACCAAGTTGATAGAGGAGGCAAAAAAGAAATGTGACCTTCTAAGCTCTGTGGAGGGAATTTCCAAAAGGATAGGCAACCAGCATCCAAATTACAGTTGAATCTAAGACAAGCAGCTGCATTTTTGTCCTTTTCGGGAAAAAAGATCTTTTTTTTTGTTAGGTAAACGTGTTCTTCAAATATTCGCAGTCATTTTTTATGGGAGATACCCAGTTACGTATTAATAGGAATGGTTGTTACATACATACTATTGGTCAAAATCGATATATTATAAAATAATTTAAAAAAAAAGAAATGACAATTAAGGACCACTAAAAACATTAATTTTAATTAAAGACTATAAAATTTTAAAATATCAATTAAGGACAATGGAAAAAAATTATAGTTTGTCTTAAATACGCCTGAAAAAAAAATTCAATTGTGTTGAAATTTTAATTATATTGTTTTCACAATATATATTAGCAATTTTTTTTTATTTTGGACTAGTAAATTTTTAAGTGGAGTTAGTAAATTCTACCTCACATTAGTAAATCTCAATTTAAACAAGTCATTTTTTGTTAAACAATCAATTCTTAAATGAGGTTATATTTTTTTACAATATATGTCAGACATTCTTTCAAGTCGAGTCAGTGAATTTTTAAGTAGTTCTTTTTGTTAAACAATCGATTCTTAAATGAAGTTTTATATTTTCATAATACACGTTAAAATTTTTGTTAAATTGGATTACTAAATTTTTAAGTGACGTTTTTGATTAAACAATTAATTCTCAAGTGAAATTTTATATTTTCACAATATATGTTAGTAATTTTTTTAAGTTGGGTTATTGAATTTCAACTTGTGTTAATAAATCTTACCTCATGTTAGTGAATTTCATGAGCATTTAAGACAAATTAAATTTTTTTTATCTTAATTTAGGACCATGATTCTTAACCAATATTTTAAAATTTTAGAATTTTTAATTGAGATTACTATTTTTAGAGGATGTTTAATTGTTATGTTCTCCTAAAAAAAGCAGGCATCTAAAACTTCATTGAAGGGAAGATGGTGACCAAATTAAAAAATTTAAATTATCTTATTGCCATTAAGTTTAAAATTTTGATCTTCATTTGCGGCTGTGAGCGGTGGGGATAGCGTCTGGATCCCACCACCTCCGTGGATTATCCCTCGCTCCCGAGCTGATGGAATCTCGCAGTATCCGAAACGCAAAAGGGTCCCACAGAGTACGCTATTGAAAGAGGAAGAAAACACCACGTCGTAATGTGATGGCACGTGGCGTTATAAATTGTTCGTTGTCGACTTGCAGGCTTGCAGCTTACGATATTGGTTGAAAGTGACACAAATGAGAAAGCAAGATTCTAACAAGTTTATTTAATTTAAAAAAATAATAATAAGTGTGATCATAAATTTTTAATAAACTATTTTGAATAATAAAACATAAAAATTATATGTTCATTTTCTTTATTTCACTTGATGGCAGGTGAATGAATTTTGTTTTAATCTCAGGATTCACTAAGACTATTAGAATCAGGACATGTTCAAAAATGTTTAGAGCTCTGCCCGTGAACTTGGAGCAGGTAAATGAATTCTTGTTTATACTGCGGCTGGTCGAAAAAGAACATCGTATTGACAGTATGATTGTACGAAACGCTATAGTTATTTTTCCTGTGATTGATGAAATGTGTTATTTTTTTCGTTTAAAAATATAAAAAAAATAATTAAATTTTATTTTTAATAAAATAATTATTTATTTTTAAATTAATTTTATTTTTTATATTTATTTTTATTAAACACCTTATAGTAAATATAAAATTTTTATTAATAAGAATACTTTTAAAAAAAAAATAACAATTATACCTTAAAAGATTAAAAATATCTTATATTTTTAACATCTAATTTCTCAAAAAAATATTTTACATTTTTAAACAAATGGAGCATTGTTTCTAAAAATAATAATATTATTATTATTATATTAAAGCTACATATTACAACAAGGGACTTTTTAAAAATTCATTAATTATTTAAATCATAAAAAATTTAACCAGCGATTTTCCCCTTTTATGATTTGAGAAATAACAATACCAAATCACTGGGATTTTTTTCCCAGAGGGTGGGGTCCACTCATCCACATTTATTTTGGAAATTAAATATCATATAATCAAGAGGAAAGCACGCATGTTGCATGGAGAATCTCAAAACAAATGTTGTTTTAAAAAATGAATTAGTAATTAAACTGGAAAGTTCAAGCATTCAAAGATCAATGATCAGTTTATGATCAATCCATGGCTGAATCAATAAGAGATAATATTTTATAAAATTAAATTCATACGATGAGTTTAAATATTTTTTAATCATCAAATATCATTTTATTGTCATATAAAAATTGGAAGGGAAGAAAGTGAGAAGTTTCCTTCTCTTTAATTTAACAAAAAATGTTATCTATTGTTCTTCAAAACTTTAAGAAAATTAATAAATATTTCATAATTTTAAAAATATAAAATAATCATGAGATGTAATGTTTATTTAATTTATAATATTATTTAAAAATTTATAGTTTTAAAATATACGAAAATTTTCTTGTTATTTTTTCACCATTTTTCTTTTTAATTTATAATATAGCTTAGAAATATAATTTAAATATTACAAAAATATAAAAAGATTTTGACTAGTTCAAATTGATTCCAAGTTTTGGCCTTTAAATTATTATCTATCAATTCAATCGACTCAAATCAACTCTAATTTTATTCTAATATTAGGCTGGACACTTAGGCCAGTGTTCAAACTGCTCTAAATAAAGTTAGGTAATACTTGTATAATAATGAAGTAGAAAGTAATGATAAGATTAAATTTTAATTATTCCATTCAATTCAAATATCACTTGATATTCAAATATTAATTTCTTCCTTTCTTTTTTTAAATAATAGTAAATCACCCGTTGTTCACAAGGACAATGGCTTTGACTGATTCAAATCAAGCCACTACCAAATGCTTTTACATTCTTAAGACTCGACCAGTGAGTTAAATCAAGTGTTTGATGGCTGTGAATTTCTTCTTTTATTTTAAAATAAATTACATTTCAGCATTTTATATCAGCTTCACTCGAGTATTCACTTTCCATAGGACAATGCTAACACTGAATATTGATCATTTATGGCATGAAGAAGTTAGATTCTGTGGTCCCGCAATGTGTTACACCAGAATTGAGTTACAAAATTAGTTGGCGTTACCATTCTACTCTGAAAAAATTAGCTAGGTAGACAGCTCCATGCTCGGATGCTTGTCATTCTGTGCGTTGTATATGCAGATTTGTTCCTTCTTTTTTTTCTTTTTTCTTGTTTCTATTTTTGCTTTTTCATTAATTGATGATTTGATACTCTTTCTAAGGGCTTAAGCAAAAGATAAACACAATGTTATTTGTAAGTGAAGTTTTGTACACGACATATGATATGACATCACAAATAAGAAGAATAAATATGGTGATATGTAGGGGTAGAAATAGGCTTACATCGAGTTTAACTTTAATTAAATAGGTCATAACCTATATGGTAAGTCAGAAATATGAGCCTAACTCAAAACCCATATAAAGCTTTTTTCATGATTTAAGTTTAAACTTACTTAAAACTTAGCCTCGCTTAAAAATCTATTTAAAAGCCTACTTAAAAATAAATATTTTAAATAAACTTGTATTTTAGTTTGAAACATTTCAAATATATTTTAAGGTTGTGTTTGGGTAGATGGATTTAAGTTGAGAATTTAAATTTAAAATTTCATATTTGAAATCTCAAATTTAAAATTCATAGATTCTAAATTCTGTATTTAGATGATATAAAAAATTTAAAACAATAATATTAAAATCCTTTATTTGGATCTAAAGTAAAATTTTAAATTTCAAATTTTATATTTGAATTTAAAAAAAAACTTGAAAGGTTAGTCAAACTTGACGATTCGAATAGCCAACTTCCAACGAGATTAAACAAACAAAGCCGACTGGGACTGTGGCACTTGTAACGACAGAGACGGGACCTCCAACTTTCACTGGGATTGGACAGTCGCAATGATGAGGATAGAACGACCTACTTCCACCAAAACTGGATCGACAGTGATGACGGGGACAGAATGACCTACTTTTACCAAGATGGGACCAACAGCGACCACGAAAACCAAACAACAGACTTTCACTAGGATTGGATCGACGGCGACAATGGGCACTGGACACCCAACTTCCATTAGGACTGGACTGACAGTGATGATGAGCACCGGATGATCGACTTCCACCAAGACCGAACTTATGACGACGACGAGCATTGAAAGGCCGACTTTCACCAAGATCAGACCAACGACCACAATAAGAATGAGACAACTGACTACCGCCAATATTGGACTGGTGGTGACGATGGAGACCAGGTGGTTGACTTTCACCAGGACTGAACCAACGATGCCAATAGGCACCAAACAACCGACTTCCACCAAGATCAGACAAACGACAACTACTGGCACCGGACAGCCTACTTTTATAGGATTGAACCCACGACAACGAGAATTGAAAAGCTGACTTCCACGAGGATTAGACCAAAGGCCATAACGAGGAAGGAACAGCCGACTACCACCAAGATCGAACTGGCAGTGATAATAGGGACTCGATGGCTGACTTCACTAAGATAGGATCGACGATGCCAACAGGCATCAGACTATTGACTTCCACTGAAACTGAATTGACGACAACAACTAGTACTGGACGACCGACTCCTACCAAGATCGGACCAATGACTACAACGGGGACAAGATGGCCAACTACTACCAAGACTAGACCGGCGATGATGACAAAGACCAAACGATAGACTTTCACCTGTATGGGATCGAGGACAACAATGAGCACTAGACGGCTGACTTTCACCAGGATCGAATCAACACCGAACGGCTAACTTCTATCAGGACTGAACTACATCGATGATGAGGATAGCACAGCTGACTTCCACCAAGATAGGATTGACGTCGACAATGGGGACAGGATAGCTGACTTCTACTGGCACCGAACCAAACTGACGGTTATGGCGACCAAACTGATGGGATAGCGATTGTCTAATCCTAGCCCGATGGAAGTGGGACTTTCAATCCTCATCATAATCATAGGTTCGATCCCGGTAGAAGTCAGTCATTTGGTTCTCATTGTCTTTTTTGATCCAATGTCAATGGAAGTCCTCCATTCAGTCTCCTTCATCACCATCGATCCGGTCTCAATGGAAGTTGGCAATCTTGTCCCCATTGTAGTCGTTGTTCGATCTTGGCAAAAGTTGACCGTCCGATCCTCTTCATCCCCATCGATCTTGCCCCGTCATCGCCATCAATCCGGCTTAATGAAAGTCTGTCATTCAATTCTCATCATTGTCATAGATTTGGTGTCGGTGGAAGTCAGCCGTCCAATCCCCCTCATCACCGTTGATCCTATCTCGATGAAAGCCGATAGTGCTATCCTAGTCATCTCCCTTATCCAATCCCCATCATTGCTATCGGTCCAGTCTAGGTGGAAGTGGGTTGTCAGGTCCCCCATCATTACCATCAGTCTGGTCTCAATAAAAGTTGGTAGCCTCATCCCAATCAACAGCCATAGCTTGTTTCCATCAACTTTGATAGTTCAATTTAATTACCATTGGTAAGTCAATCAAGCCTTCATACATTTGAGTCAAATTACAAAAAAATTTGAGTTAGGATTTTAAATAATAGGGGTTTAGAAATGATTTTAAATTACAAAGAGATTAAAGGAGAACTTGATGACTCAAATCTAAATTCAAATCCATGTGTATCCAAACATAGCATAAAACTATTAGTATATAATATTTAACCTAATTTATCAATTACATTACAATACATAATAATTAAAAGGACTCACTAACTATAATACAATATAATAATAAAGTAATAACATTAAAATCAATATATAAGCCTAATCGGATTGAAAACATAACTAGAGATATAAAAGAATAAATTAATTAAAAATCAAAGGTGAAACTATGCACACACACATGTGAGCACAAGCATGTGTGAGAGAAGGCATATTGGGCTCATAGGCCTGACCTATTTAACTAAATAAGCCTAATTAAGGCCTAAACTTGACTTGAATTATTTAATAAATAAGCTAGGTTAGTCCTGAAATAGGTCAAGATGTAAGCCCTTGACTTATTCCCACCTTTAGTGATATGTTACAAAGAAAACATTTCATATAAATAAGTGTAAACTTATACTCTGACTTGATTTTTGTAATTTCAGTATGAGGCAATTATTCTTATTATTTTCTTTTATAAATAAAAGTTTCAATTTGTTGAGTTTTAAAAGTTTAATAGGATCAAGGCATCTTTTATGTTTTTTTCCCAGAGATACTCATAAATTATCCATTAACAAAATTATCATATTTACAACGAGATTTAATTTTATAATTTTATAAATCATGAGTCAAATCATTCTATTATAATAAATTACATGAGAATGAAAATGAGGAAACATCAATTTGATTTTACATAGAAATGGACGGAGGAACCAAGATTCCAACTCCAACCACGAATCAAGGATATGTTCTTATCTTTGATTCCTGTCCATCCTTACTCCCTTGATAGGGACAATAACATCATTCAACAAAACTATCACCACCCCTCGTCATTTCTAGTCCCTTTCGTCCGCATAATAATCATAACATGCAGATTAATCTTATTTTTTAAAAAATAAAAGGAAGAAACGTACAAGCGAAAAACACAGAAAGGAAGGAACAATGGATCCATATTCAAGTGAAGCCCATGAAAGCCCAAAGTTGAAGCCCAATGACCAAAGCGTCCAACCCCAATAGCCTTCTCCTATTCAAGAAAGCTTCATTCTTCTGTGCCTGGCTGCTTCCACTCTTTCCACTCTCACCACTCGCTCCATCTGCACCGAATCCCACACAAACCCATGTCATTCTCATGTTATAAATACAATATTCAGTTTTTCATTCTATTTCGTGTCTTCACTTCATGGACAACAAAATTATTGTAGCAAACCGGGCCACTAGCATAGCGAGCATTTTTCAAGTATGGTCAAATAAGTTAGGCTATCTTTGGTAGTATTGAATTGATAAGGTGGAAATGAAATCAAAAATAGAATCCTAATTTAAGCATGATTGGTATGCAAGAGTTGCAATTCTTAAAAATCCTAATTTCACCAAAAATGCTAGAATCCAATTCCATCATATTATCATGGAATTGCTTCAATTCCTTAGAATTCAATTTGTGTATCCCCACTATCCTCATTTTTTTTCATTTATAACAAGATAGGTCTTTTTAATTTTAAAAAGGGACAATTTAGTCTTTCCTCATTTTAAGTATATATATAAATTAATATTATATTAAAATTTCATCTTCATATCAAACATACTTTTAAAACTCAATTTATTTCAATTCTGATTCTGATTTCAATTTCATTAAAAACTCTTTTATCATACCAAACGAGACCTTAGTTTTTCTACCTGCAGAGATTTTTGGGTTGGGCCACGGGCCGTTATCTTTCCAGCCCGGCCCAACCCCTAAAATAAACAGATAAAGTAGTAAACTAGTTAGAGAGGAATAAAGTGATGAAAGTACTGGCAGGAGCAGGGGCAGGACTGGGAGTGGTGCCACTTTTATTTGAGCCCTTATCCAACTGATAGAAAATCTGAGCTTCTGGTGACTTAGGATCCATGTGCAGCAGCTCTGCTTTCCATCAACAAAATTGTAAAACTCAAGTGTGAGAGTCAACAGTGATAATCTTTTCATTGGATAGAATCTAGATTGAGAGATGAGTGTATGGAAACGACCCGCGAATTAGATGATGTGAGATTTTGAGGTAAGATATGGAACTTGAATACATACCGGGGCACTTGGAGATATTGGCAGGGGCATTGCAGACGTTAGGGAGGGTGATAGCAAGAGTGATATTGACCTGCAAGCTTCCAATGTCAGGATCATTACGATCCTTGATGATAACACAAAGACACTTCTTGTTGTTCTTGAGCAACTGCTTCAGCCCACTGCAACAATCTGATGTGGGAGACTTTGCTTGCCCTCCCACATAAGGAAGACAAGTCGCCAGCCCTGCTAGCTGCTCCATGCATTCCTCTTTGTCCTTCGACGAGTCTGCCATGGCTCCACTGATCACCACCACACAGGCCACCACTAGGACTAACACATGTGAAGTACTAGTACTGTGAGGGAAGAAGAAGAAGAAGACCATGTTTTGATTGAACAGAATCAGTGATTGTGTTGTTTTAATTCAATAGTGATGGATTAAGGAAAGCAAGCTGGTGGTGATCGTGTGTGTTAAATAGCGCGTGAAGACTCTCAGCTATCAAGAGTGATCAATGGCTTTTTGTGTTACGTGGCGTTCTATGAATTGAGACAAGGGAAGTTGGATAAAATCTGGATTAAAATATGGTAATGTTTAGCAACATAGGGTGTGGACACGAGAGAAAAAATAGCAAACTGAAGGGACAGTGGGTCACTTTACCAACCCACTAGAGGCAACAATGGCAGAATAAGGTGGCCGTGCCCTAAAGGCAATGATGGCCTGTAGGTGTCGGTGAATGTGTGAATGACACGTGGCACAGACCACATTACGTCATTTGACATTGTTCATGACGCAATTGCAAGTTTCCCGCCCTTTTCTACTCCCTCTTCATAGAAATTTTCTAATTTCTCATGTATTTCGAGGTCACGTGTCTTGAATTTCAAGTCATATTTGAGGAGAAAAAAATCATGAATCTTTATATATGCACACACATATATAAGAATTTTTTCACCTTTTTTTCTGTGACAGGAAAATTTTTATGGCAAAAAAACGAATAAGAGGAATTTTCACCATTAATAAAAAAAAATCTGCTTTTCTTTTTTTAAGTTTGGGTCAAAAGAACTTATTTTATTTGGGCTGATGAGCCTTTGTGGAAAGTAACTGTTTGCTCCCAAAGGGATGGCCCATTATTATTAGGCCCAAGTTGTAATCCAGCCCTCTCCAACAACTACAGAATCTCAGGGGCAAAAGGAGATTGTTTATTTTTTTTTTAAATTTTTATTGGGTGTTATGGTTTGAAAAGAATACATTCATCAGGCCAAAAAAAAGAAAGAAAGAAAGAATGCATTCGCTTGTAAATAATTCTTTCAAAATTTAAAATTTTTAAAAAAATCTCTAAACTCTAGAAATTCGACTATCTATTTGTTTACACCTTAACTCAATAATGAACAAAAATTATAGTGACATTTCAATTGTGTGTGTGTGTTGGTCTTGCCGTTTAAAATCCTTACAGTTTGATTGTCATAAGTTTAAGTTTTACTTTAACTTATATTCTCAGAATTTTAACAACGTTATATTCAAATTTATTCATGTCACAAGTTATCTGCTGTCCTGATATGCCGACGAAAGAGTTTGCCATGCATCGCTTTGCCATGCATTCTACGTTAAGTGCCTTCAAAGAATTCATTTGTATATCACTTGACAAGGTGATATGGAATTACACAAGACAGTTAAAAAAAAAAAATTGGTACATTAAAGTGTTGGCAAGTTGCATTCTAAAATCTCACCAGCATTGAGACGTACCTCTAAACTCAAAGAGCACTTACAAATATATTTATATATTGTTTACCAAAAAAATTATTACATTAGTAGTGAAATTTAATCTTAAAATCTTGTAAATTATGAGTCAAATTTTTATTAATTAGATTAACCTTCGTTGATACTGGGTAGACAATTATTATTCTTTTTGTCAACAAAAGTTTGAGTAGGTTGAGACCCGATAGCTTATCAGGACTAAATTTAATAAAATATACAGAAATTTATAATTAGGTAGATTTTTTGTACATTTCACAGGGAATTTAAATAGATCTCGATCAGGTGCAACTATATTTTCTTTTTCTTTTTTTTTTTGTTTTTGGTATGAAGGTGCACTATATTTTCATTAAGAAATGTATATTATCTAAATAACAGCTTGCGTGGTTTGTAACTTTAGAATAATACGGAACTTTTTGTAAATTTTATGGATATAACAACATTATTTTGAAAACTATATTTTGAATTATTATAACTTAATTATAAATTCTTTAATTACAGACACAAAAGAAAAATTGAAATAATTATTATGGAGATAAAAAAGTACAGTTTTTAGAGTGCAAAATTGCATATAGAAAGAGCCAGCGGATGGGAGGAAACACGGAGTTGGTATATACCTTTTTACTGCGCTTTTAAAATAAATATACACTTCTAAGAATTTTCAAATTTAATTTAATAATTTACAATTAAAGCTACCTCTTTCTGATTGGAGCGAAGCAGCATCCATAGCAACCAAAAAAAAAAAAGAATGATGAATGATGAATGAGGAGAAAGCAAATGAGACATACTAAATATGATTTTTGACTTGGTTATCTAATAATTAAATCATAATAAAGTATTATCACGTTCAATTGAATGTAGCTCTTTCAAAATTAAAGAGTTATTTTTTTAAAGTTACGTAGACTTAATGCGAAACACCATGCTTAAGTAAATATGATTCTGATGAATACTATATTTGACTTAAAAGTTATCTTTCCATTTGCTTAATAGGAGAGGATACCTCTATTCTCTCTGCTTGTGCCAACTCAGAATCTTTCTTTGTCTGATCATTTTCATGGGGTGTTGGTTTCTTTTTTTTTAAAAAAATGGACTCGTTCTACTCTATTTATATGTGTATATAGTCATCAATCGAGACTTGATCATCACTAAAAAAAATAAAAAATAATTAAATAATTAAAAAAAATACAGATGTCTATGATCTTAACCACCAAAGAAGAGTAAAAGCCGTAGTTCGCACTCGATGGCAAGTAATATTGCATGATTGACTTAATTACTTGAGCCATAAGACTTGTGCTATTTATAAAGGTAGCTTAATTATATTATTTTTAAGACTTTATATAAGATTATTGTTTAATATTAATTAAATATAATATAAAAATCGTACCATTTATGATACATAAATAGGTTATCTCATCATAAACTCCATTCCATAAATTGAAAATCACGCATTACCAAAAACAAATGAAAATCACGTGAACAAAAAATTTTCTTTTATTAAACATGACCCCCAGTCATCGGTGAATTTAATGTACTTGCTTTTGAAATGAGGTGGTGGATTGGAATCTCCATGAAATTGAAATTTCCAAGAGACGAGTGAATCTGGTCCCTGGTCGGTGGTGCGTGGCAACTTCTGATTCGTCAGGTCGTCCCGATCCCAAGCACCAAACTCAGTTAACAGACTCGCGTTTCAGCGAAGAGCCCCTCTCAGGTTTTCAGATTCTGAGTTACAAAAAAGTACGAAGCTTTACCAATAAACAAAGCCATACCATTCACCCTTTTACGCATTCTTCTCATTCTTCCTCAGATTGTCTATATATATAATAACATCAAACCTCTTCTCTTCACGTTCCTTCAACCTCCATTATCACAAAAAATGGCCCGTCACCCTTACCCTTCTTCTTCTTTTTCTTCAAGTAGTGAGCCTTGCATCCCGTTTCACCTCTGTTTCTTCCTTCTGACTCTGTTCACGTTGGTGGGTTTCTCGTGGTACTCGAGCTACGAGCAAATAGTGGAGAGCTTGATGGAGCAAGTGAAAACGGTGATAATGGTGTCTCCTCTGGTTCTGCTACTGATACTTCACTTGATGTCAAACTATGGAGGAGGAGGAAGTTGGGGGAGTGGGGCATTGCGGTCTTTGATTCCTTCGCCGGAGAAAGAGTCGTTTCACAGAGCAGGAGGGACGCCGTGGGGAGTTGGGCTGCTTCTTGTGGTTGTCCTGTTCATGGTGTCTCATCGCTCTTAACGATGGTTCCCTCTGCTTTCCAGGTGAATGATCCAGAGAATGGGAAGATATACGTGTTGGATATATTTCTCCTGTGTCATTGACTTTTGTAATATGTTAAATAATTTTGAGAATTCGATGTTATTGCTTGTCCCGACCTGGACGGTGAGTGTAATCCTCCCCCTTCTCGTTGTTAAACTTGGTGGATTGAATGAATCATATAAATCAATTTTTAAAAGTTTTGTTTAAAAAAACAAACAAGAAAAAATATGTTGGGATTATAATATTTTTTAAAACAATTCTAGAATTTAAAAACTCATTTAAAATAATTTTTTAAAAGCATATCTTCTACCATCAATCACCACTTACTACTATTAATTGTAACACTCTAGATTTTACATCAATTTTTTGCAAAAATATATTTTAACAATCAAACTTTAACCATTAAACATATATCATGGTAATAAAGTACTTACCATGATAATACAGAATAAAATTTATTTATACAAATTTTATCATGATAAATAAAGGTTTATGGTGAGTTAAAAAATTTTAGATAATATTTCAAAATTCTTAGATGATAGTGAGAGAATGGGAAGATATACGTGTTGGATATACTTCTTCTGCATTGTAGACTTTTGCGATATACATGTTTGATTTTTCCTCTATGTTAAATAATATTTGAGGAATTCGATGTCGCTTCTTGTTTGTCTTTGGACAGTGCGAATGTAATACTCCTACTCCTCCTCCTCGTTAAAATTGGTGAATTGATTGAATCATGGTTCAATTGGGAATTGTTTGATTTTGAAAACTACTTTATAAATCAATTTTTAAATTTTTTAAAAAAATAAAAAACATGTTCAGATTATTTTTTTTTGAATTTAAAAATTAATTTAAAATAATCTTTTTAAAGTACATCTTTTACCACCAATCGTTCCTGCCACCGTCACCTTCTATCATCCCAATGCCATAGCTTAATAATTAACCTGAAAGAAGTTTGATTCAAACTTAGCTAAGATTTTTAAAGTCCAATGGGCCTGGTTTGGATTTGATCTATAATGCTCCAGTGCATAAGCTCCATTATTCTCTTGTATAAAAAAAAGTAATAATAATACCCAAGTTAGGGATAGGATCGGGCTGGGTGACGTGGTGTTGAAGAAATAGAACTCAAATCCTTTCATTGTCATATTCTTTCCTCTATACTCATTTTTTTTTTCAAAACTTTAGATGCGTTGAATTTTAAAGACATATACTAACTAGAATATAATCTTTAGCTTAAAAATATTTATAAAAATATTTACAGATCAGTCACTAATAAATTTTTTTGTCAATAATAAAATTTGAATTAATGAGCTAAAGAATAAAGAGTGAAGAAATAAATATAAAAAGAGTCTCATTTTTGTTAGACTAATAATATATATATATATATATATATATATTGGTTTTCCCCCCTCTATTTTAAGCGAAATCCACTTCAATGGATCAAATCCAACTTTATCTATTGTAATGATGATGACATGGAATGATATTTGTAATTAACCTTAATGCGTGCTGAGCCTTAGATAAAACTGAACAATTACACCTAATTTGTATATTTTATTATAGGATAAATGTGTAAATTTAATCATAAATTATTTTTCAAGAAGCATCTAGTATTATATATTATAAGGTAATGTAAGATAAATTATTAACTATTTAAATCAGAGTGTTTAGCATCCTTCATAAAATATAAGTAAATAAATGTTTATTCTTTTTGTGGGCCTAGCTCTGCTCCCTTCAACCTTTGCCTCACAACTCACCTTCACCGTCTTCCTTCATCTTTGTTCCACATCTTCCCTCTATTACTCACTCCTCCATTGTTTGCCCTAATCTCCCCCATTGAACACCATGAAAAAAGTTTACAGCAATCTAATTCTTAGTTCTTACAATTCCCAAGTTGAAATTCATCTTTAGCTGACAATATTGATGCTTTGCTAGAAGAGGTTGCGAAGAGACTGGATGATTAATTCAACTAACTCTTTGTGCCGAGGGATCAATTAAAAAAGTGACTTGTGCTCCATGAACGAGATAGCAAAATCCAACAAAAGCCATCCTCCTAAATTTGACCTAATGTTTTTGGGTATGAAGGTAGATGGACGTGGAGGTTCTTTGGCGCCGAATCATCTAGTTCTTGATGAGAATGAGAAATCGGTGGCTTTGGTGAAGGACAAGGATGCAATGCAAGTGACTCTAACCTTGCTAGTGATCAATTTGAGTTCCAACATTGCAATGGTGGTGGTTGGCTTTGCCAATACTGATGCAGTTTATTTTGCTTTTAGGGATGACAATTATCCACCAAGCTCCTTATCACAAGCTTCTTGCTGAACCGATCTCAAAGCATGATTGACGAGAGCATCGATCTGAGTGTGTCTGCCGAACACATTTCTGAACGTGCATGTGGCCTTGAAGGATTGCAAAGTAGAGTTATGACATGCCACACGACACGAAGGTTCTCTTGAAAATGACAGAATTTTCAAATTTGAACAAGGGAGAATTATGTTAAACTCTTATATAAAAAAATTAATTATTACTACAAGATTCATTAACAATCGAATTAAAATCAATGTATTGTCAATGATCTTAGTTTAATTGATAACAAATTTTATAGTAATTAATTTTTTATATAAGAATTTATATATAATTCTCCTTTTGAAGAAAGTAGGGTTAGGTCCACAAGGAGAATAAACATCCGTTTATTTAGATTTGACAAAGGGTGTTAGACACTTTGATTTAAATAATTGATTAATTATTTTACATCATCATATAATACAAGATACCAGATGTTTCTTAAAAAATAATTATGGCTAAATCTCCACCTCTACTTAGGGGTTGTCAAACTCATGAGTTCAAGTGAACTTATAAGAGAAATATAAACTCAAATCGTAAATTTATAAAAGTTTATCTTTAATAAATATCCATTAAAAATACATAATTAAATAATTAAAATATAAAATATGATCATAATTTGATTTAAAATATTTTAAACATAAATAATTGAAATTAAATCCATTTGTTGGTAGATTATCATACAAAATGTAAAAATTTTAGAATAAGGTAACTTATTTTTGGTATTTTTTTTTTCTTTTTTAATTACTATTAGTTCTTGCTTTTTAAGTTTTCTTCTCTCTTTGAACTAGATTCTATCCCTTTTTATGAACTAAGTTCTATATAGTATATACATTTAACTTGCTCAACTCAATAAAAAATTGACGAGTTTAACAAGTTTAACTAAATCTGTTTCTAATTTAAATTTATGAATTAATTGATAAAATTTTTAAGTTAAAAACATAAAAAAATAAGCTCAAAATAAACTCACGAGTTTAACTAAGTTTATATTTAGTTTAAGTTTATAAGTAAGTTGGTATAATTTTATAAATTAAAAATATAAAAATATTAAACTTAAAAAAATTAATTCAAGAGTTTGATAATTATGCCGTTATTTTTAACTATATAACGTCGTTTGTTTCTCCTTACATAGAACACAATTATGGAGACGACCAAGTAGTAATTTCTGGGGACTATTTCTACCCATAGAATAGTTTCCACGATGGCATGATAAAGTTTCTTCAAAATGGAGACTTTCACAGTTCACGCCAGAGAACATCAGAAGAGCCACATAATCCCCGGAGATACCTTCTTAAGCAGCCTTTTTCACTTTTTTTTTAAAAAACTGTCCAAGAGAATCAAATTGTGCAGGACTATGTCTTCGTTCAATGTCTCTCTAACGATATCATATATAATTATTTTTGTGATATCAAAAGACAAGTTCAGATACTCTAGCCCAAAAGAGAAAAATAAAAATCAAAAATGATATTTCCTAACAATGTGGGTTGGGTTTTGCAGGTTAGACCATTCCGCTGAAAACCCACGGAAAAGAAAAAGACCAAAAAATTGTTCACAGAGTTATATACAAGTATTATATCGCAAGCATCAAGTTCATCGGTGGATGACTTTTTTTTTTAAAAAAAAAAGAACAAAGAACAAAATTTAATCAACAAAAGATTCTATTCATTCCTAATTATAGAACAAAGTTAACTCATCTTCACGATTTTTAAGGAAAAAATGACAACTAATATCTAGTTTATGTTTGATTTTTCAATTTTACCATTCACTAAATTAAAATTAATGACCGCAATAAAATATGCTTGAGAATTACAATCTAATGCAATTAAAGAGGTGTAATATTAAAAAAAATAACTAGGACATCTTTATCTTATTTTTAAAATTAAATATGACTTTAAAAATTTGCCCTATAATAATTGGATGGATAAATTAGTTAAGTCTAGCTGCAAAAAAAAAAAAAAGAAAAGTAGGGAGGAAGAAACTTATGTAGTGCTATTAAGTATGTTTGATTTGCAATTTATATTTGGCAAAAGTACATTTGGAGGATTCAACTCTTTATTGAATTTGACAAAAATATATCTTGAATGTGATTTGAATGTGTTTTGAGTATTAACCACATAAGCCCTAAATAAAAAGGAAAAGCAATTGAAAAAACTTAACAAAGCATGTGGATTTTTTTTTTTTTTTGGGGGCTAAAGACCAACGAGGTCTTAAAAAAGTAAGCATTTACCATTATGAGGAGACTTTGTCAAACCTTTAGTCTTCGTTTCTATGTTATGAGGGTAGAAAGCAATGAAATCAGTACATGTATTAGCTTTTCTAAACACATGATTATAAGTAACATCCCAGTCCCACGTCAAAAAAATTTCTGATATCTTGGACAATGATATAGATCGGATGGTTGAGCATGTGTAGTTCACAAGACAAATGGATCACCGAAGGGAAAGAGCAGAGACTATGACAGGCTGAGATCAAATGGAAAGAAGTGAACTATAACCAGTGTCTACCCTCTTAGTCCTCGTGCGATTAATGGTTGAATCAATTTCTTGGTAATTGAATTTGTAAATGAATTGCTAACAGAGACGGAATCAGATCCATATGATCATTGATATTCTAAGGGAACCCTCTTTTAGGCTTTATTCTTGATAGCCCCATTTTAAGCATAGCTTTCTGCTTTTCTCTCAACTAGGCCTCCTCTCCCTCTTAATTCTTTTGCCCATCCTCCATATTCAATGCCTTGTGAAGCTTTTTATGTCAAACACACATGCCTCTTTTTCTTTTTCCATCTCCTCTTTATTAAAATCTCAACCATTTTATAATCAGATACCTAAAGTCTTGGGAAAACCATTGAAAGAGCAAGTGAGATGCAGATAAGAACAGAAGCCAAACACCGATGGATTTTAATCTTAAGGTGCACATTCAATCCTTTTGGTAAAGGGATTTTAGACATATTTCTGCAAAAAGAAGCATAAATGAAACTTTGTTTCTAAAGCATGAACCTCTAAAGATTTTTTTTGGGGTGGGGGAAGAAATGTAATGCACAAGAAAGAATACCACCATCTGCTTATCTTTTAACACTCAGCTAAATTTCATACACACTCCATCATGCCCCTTGGTAAAAGCCTACCAAAAAGAATATAATGTAAAGCTATTCACATGGATGTCATCCATCAAAAATTATGTAGATAATTTGCTGTAGCCAATTACATAAGATCAGCTCTCTTGATGGACATTTTATCAGTCAAATCCTGCGAATTATAGTTAATCTCACTTGCAATGATCTAATTTTCTAAAATAGAATGGTGAATCAATTGTAGTTTGGTTGAGTAGTGAAGAACTCAACATCCTTTTAAGTAAAGTTTTAAGTTTGAGCCTCCTGCTTAGACAAAGCTTCATTAAAAGAGCTTATTCTTATTCGGGGCTCAATTTAAATTCATATTAGATGGTACATCGAATGTATCAAATGTTTTGTTAAAACCAAAAACAAAAAAGAAATAAAGAGAGAAAGAGAGAAAGGTGAAAGAAATATACGAAAATATTTTTTCTAACACATAATGTATCAGTTGATTGAACAAGTATTTAAGTAGTGGGGTTCATTGAGATAACCATCTTAGTGAGCTTTCATTGCCTCTTTTGTGCAGTTAGCTAGTGCAATGAGTTTCTTTCAAACAAAACAAAACAAAAGAAAAAGCTAGTGCAATGAGCGGATGTAAGCATGTAAAAATGTTCTCCATTTCCATTCACACGGTGCAGTAAAACAAGAATATTATCTGCAGGACAAAATCATGGTCCTCATTATCATATTCTTCTTGATGGCACTCATCATAAGTAAGTGATGAGGTTTAAGTTCTCTTAAGAACATTCTGTGACTCCTAAAGCTCAAGTTACGAGACAAAGAAGAAAAAGATAAAGTAGAGTGATACTGTGATTTGTCAAGATGGAAACAAAAGCAGATTCAACAGCACAAATACCCCGTTTGTTCTGCATGCACGCCACTGTGTTATATACCCTATCACCTCCTTTAGACCTTTACTGAAACTAGCCACCGCGCGTGCAAGTATGAACTATAGTCTACGATGCCAAGATGCTTATGAGAAGACTCTGAGAGTTGACAAATAAGCCTAAACTTTACAAGAACACAAGGATACTAACAGGAAAACTGAAAAAAAGGAAAAGAAAGAAAGAAAAGAGAAATACAGCATTCAAATTATTATCAATCAGAAACAAAACTAAATATTGTTCAAGTAAGAAGCAATACTGTGTAGCCTACAGAACTAAACATTCCATTCAAGTGATTATTATGCAGAAATCAATAGAAGGAGTGGACCTGTGGCGAAAATGCTAGGCATCATTTGAGTGAAGAGGTTCTGAATTAGAAATGACCATCAAGATGGAAGTTTGAGTGTTTGACCGTACGGAGAAACATTCTGCATTTTCTTTGATTTGATATGTGTAGCCCACGCTTTGAAAGTAGAGGAAGCAAGTTAGCGGCTTAGCGCATCACCTAACAAGAAAAAGCAAAAGCAAAAGCAGAGAGGGGTCGGCTTCGTCTTTAGCTTTATCTTTAGCCTACTCTGCTTCTTTTCTTCCCTCAGAACAGTGACTTTATCAGCAACTATTTCCGCTTTATGCTGTAGATAACAAGAAAAGTCGCATTGTGATTCTTAGTATTATTAAGTTCCGGGGTCACAGACAAAATCTCAATTCAGTAGCTTCCGTTATCCAGCCAAGAAGACAAACACTGAAAGACAGAGACATAGAAGAAAACAGAGCAAAAATGGAGGTATTGTCACAACTGTGGTCGTTGTTAGGCTTACTCACCGTACTCCAAAATGTCTTGCCGTCGCAGCTACTCTCTCTCCTCCATTCCTCCTACGAGACTTTTACAGATTTTTTCTCCCCTTACTCTTACTTCGAAATCCCCGAATTCAATGGCTACTGCGGCGTCGACGTCAACGATTTGTACCGCCATGTTCACCTCTACCTCAACTCCGTCAACTACTCCGCCGCATCTGGTTGCCGCCGCCTCACCCTTTCCCGGTCCAAGTCCTCCAATCGCATTTCATATACCGTCGCCCCCAATCAGACCGTTCACGACACCTTTGACAGACACCGCCTCTCGTGGACTCATCACGTGGAAACGGTGCAAGACTCGCTGGAGGAGAAGCGGAGCTTCACTCTCCGACTGCCGAAGCGCCAGCGACAGACCCTCCTTTCGGCCTACCTCAGTCACGTGACCGCACGTGCGGAGGAGTTCGAGCGGGTCTCCAGAGAGAGGAGGCTCTTCACCAACAATGGAAATGGATCGTTCGAAGCGGGTTGGGTCTCCGTACCGTTCCGGCATCCTTCCACGTTCGACACACTAGCACTGGAGCCTGAGTTGAAGAAGCAGATCAAAAACGACCTCACAGCGTTTGCGAAAGGCAGAGAGTTCTATCACAGAGTGGGCCGGGCATGGAAGCGTGGGTACTTACTCTACGGCCCACCCGGGTCGGGAAAATCGAGTCTGATCGCAGCTATGGCGAACTTCCTCTGCTACGATGTCTACGATCTGGAGCTCACAAAGGTGTCTGATAATTCCGAGCTGAGGTCGTTACTGATACAAACGACGAACCGCTCCATCATTGTGATAGAAGACATTGACTGCTCTGTCGACTTGACGGCGGACAGGATGACGAAGAAGACAACAATGATGAAGTCCAAAACGATGAGAGCAAAAACGACGTCATCGGACTGCCTCAAGGATGAAAGCGGACGGGTTACTCTATCGGGGCTTCTGAATTTCACGGATGGCCTGTGGTCGTGTTGCGGAGAAGAGAGGATCATCGTCTTCACTACGAATCACAGGGACAACGTGGACCCGGCTCTGGTACGGTGCGGGCGAATGGACGTGCACGTCAACCTCGGCTCGTGCGGGATGCATGCGTTTAGGGACCTCGTGAGGAACTACCTGGGGTTGGAATCGCACGCACTGTTCGACGCAGTGGAGAGTTGCATAAGGTCCGGCGGGTCCCTCACGCCGGCTCAGATTGGCGAAATGCTGTTGAGGAATAGAAGAGATGCTGATGTGGCCATGAGGGAGGTGGTGTCGGCGATGCAGACGAGGATGCTCACGGTGGCAGGTGGACAATGGGAGCAGACGGATAATGAAGAGACGGTGGGGGGAAGGTCGCCTGAAAGTGTGCTGATGATGGGATCGCCGGAGAATTGGGACTCGTTGGGCGGGAAGAAGAGAAAGGAATGTGGGTCCAACTGCGATAAGAAACCGAAGTTTTTGGTGAGGTTGAGGTCGTTGACCAAGTCAGACTCTGGTAGAAAAGTTTTGATCCCAGAAAAATATAAAAGCTGTAATTTTCAGTGTTTGTGATTCGTTGGTTGTTTTAGTGATTGCCCCAATTTTTTCTCTCTTTCGTTTTTTTAATCAGTTTTTCTTCTACTCAATCATGATTGGGTTAAATTAGGATGGTTTGATTTGCACACTTCAATGTATCAAATTTAAGATGTCATGCTACTTACTACAAGACTACAGGGATGAAAATACTAATTTCATGCATGAATTTTAATTTCTTTATAGAATTTAATTTATTTTTGTGACTTAAATAATTAATTTACGAAGCTGAAAAAAAAAACTTAAAATGGTTCATCAATGGTTTTAATTCAAAAGGATCAAGAGCATACTTACAAACTTTTTTTTTTAAATCTTTCCAAATCATTATTTTCCTGCCTTTAGTTATTATTTGTAATTATAATTAAAGCTAGTTTTGCTTATCTTTATTTCCTCTCCATACGCAGCTTCTCTAAATAAAGTATCTTATCTCTTGATTTTTCATGCATTCAACTGTGAACCTTTACATACTTTACCAAAAAAAAAAAAAAAGAAACTGTGAATCTTTACATAATGTATGGTTATGTCACATATCTATATCTATATCATATTCTAAAATCGTCAAAATTATTCATATTCAATACTTTCAGAAATCAGAACATTAGCATAAGAATATTGTTCAAAATTTTATACTTCTTTTTATTATTATTCTCTTCCTCAAGTATAAGAATATGACTAAATTAAATAGATACTTAATTACAATCTATCAATATCGATATCAATACTTAATTATAAGCAACTTGAAGCTGTCATCCGCGAACTCGCAGATTGTTGTCAAAACTATGGCTTAAATTCGCCGGTTCGTGAAAATATCACCTGGCATTTTCGTAATTTCAAATCCCACCCCCGACCTTTATCCTCATCTCTATGGTCAATCTCTCTCACACAGACTCACTGAGAGAGAGAGAGAGAGAGAGAGAGAGAGATGGGGGTGGTGATAATCGACGGCACGACGGTGAGGGACTTTGTGAGGAACGAGGAAGAGTTCAACAAGAGCGCGGAGGAGCAGTTCGCAACGCTGGATCTCAACAACGACGGCGTTTTGTCGCGAGGGGAGCTCCGGAAGGCATTCGAGTCCATGAGGCTGATCGAGACGCATTTCGGCATCGACGTGGCCACTCCGGCGGATCAGCTGACCCAACTCTACAACTCCATCTTCGAGAAGTTCGACATCGACGGCAGCGGCACCGTCGACGAGAGCGAGTTCAAGTCGGAGATGAAGAAGATCCTGCTCGCCATCGCCGATGGCCTCGGCTCTTCTCCCATCCAGATGGTTCTCGAAGACGATAAACAGAGTTTCCTTCAGAAAGCGGCAGATCTCGAAGCTTCCAAGATAAATCAAGCATGAGCTTCAATTTCATGATCTCGAATCCTTCCTAACGATTCCTCTCCACTCCACGTTTATCAATTTACTGTTACTGTTTCTGCTCTGTTATCTTCCCTTGTAAGTGAACTGTTTTCTGGCTGCCTCATCAACTTTCGATGATTTTGTCCGTGTGTATATATGACTCATAACCTGACTTTTTAAATAATAGTAATTGCATTCAAGTCCTTGAGGACTTCACTCAGCCAAGTTGTATCTGATTTGGAGACTGACTTTTTGGAAAGAATGGTTCTGCTGATTAACAACATCTGAAAATCAAGGAATGATGTTATTCATGGTGGAGCTAAACTAAATCTGAACAGATCTATTCAGGAATTTCATCATACTTTCTTCTTTTTTGAACATATTTGTTCATTGAATGATTTGGATCCTCATGTAGCTGAAGCCTGAGGAGAAAGCTATTGATCGACATGTCTACCACATCCGAGCAGAGGATTTTCACCGTCATAATAAAGTATGGGGTTTTGTCTGCAGGAAGAAGAAGAGGAAATTAAATATAATTCTAGATATATTGATCTTCCAATAAGGGAGACAACTTGCCCTGCATACCTGTTGAAAACGTAGATCTGTGAATTTTGTATCCTCCTTTGAAGCATATTGTCTCCGCTCAGCTTTACTTTGAATAGCGGCCATGTCTTCTGGGACAATGAAGCTGGAGCTCTCGATGCTATCTCATTTTGCTGGTCGACTTTTTCCTTCGGAACTGATCAAGCTGAGATTTCTTCCTCAAGAATTTTAAGTAAGGACCATGAGATTTAATGTGGGTTTCAAAAAATTTGAATCTTCAATTCATTTTAGAAATTAAAGTAAAAATAATTTTAACGATAAAGATTAAATTATTATTTACTTATTATGTAAAATTATTTGTGATTAATTTTTTATTTCATTTATTAATTTATTAATGAGTTATAAAATATATAAATTTATATGTTAATAATTATACATTATTTTGTATCAATTGTTCAATAAAAAACAGTAATATCACTAGTTTAATTGTTAAATTAATAATTTATTAATATTAAAAAAAAATTAATCTTTTAGTCTTTTAATTTTTAAGTCACTTGTAACTCAGTCCCTCAACTACGATTCGCTGTGATTTAGTCCCTCAACTATAACTCGTCTATGATTCAGTCCTTCAACTTTTGAATCACTTACAAATTAGTTCTTTAACCTTTGTTAATTTTTTTTTATGATAGCCTATATCTCACATTAATGAATAAGAAGAGGGTATTTTAAAATAATATATAAACATTTTTTATCACTCTTTGATAAAAAAATTAAAAAAAATTAAAAAATAAGGACGGAGTTATAGGTAAATAACTTTAATTTTTTAAAATAATATTTTTAAAAATAATATTTTTAATTTTTTAATTTTAGTTGAACTGAAATCTTAAATTTTTTAATTTAAAATAATAAAAATAATTTTAAAATAATATTTTTTTTATTTTAAAAGTTAAGGGATTGAGTTGTAGCGAGTTATAGTTGAGGGACTGAGTCGCAGCGATTAATAATTGAGAGAGTGAGTTACAAGTGAGTTAAAAGTTGAAGGACTAAAAGATTAATTTTTTCTAATATGACAGAATATAATTTACACCTTATATTAATTAATTAATAAGTAAAATAAAAAAAATTAATAATTAATAATCTTGCATAATAATTAAAGAATAGTTTGATTTTTTATTATTAAAATTATTTTTAATTTATTATTTTTAGTTGAACTGAAATCTTAAATTTTTTTAAAAATTCATCAATAGTTAAGTTTCATTCATGATCATTTCTTCTTTTTTCCATCTATCGTTGAGCAGGATAACTGTGCCCTCTTAAGTAACTTCCAAGTATGGATTTCTTTTTAGAAACATCAGATGGGAGGTAGACACGTGTTTATTATGGTTGTTTTTCTTTCTTTCCTTCTTTCTTCTTTCTTTTTTTAAATGTTGTTATGGTTGGTTTGTTCGTTTGTTTTTTATTGTTGAACCTTTTTGACTCTCAATCAAACCAAAAAAAAAAAAAGATATATGAGCTATAAATAAAAAAAAATGACAATTACACATAAACAACTATAAATCTTTAAACTATTGCATTAATTGACTTGTTCTTGATCTAGTTTTCATTACTTTATTAACTAAAATCTTGTTCACAGTATCATTCTTGTAATGAATTATTAAATATCAAAAAACAAGCCTTAAAATGCCATTCACAACCGCGATAGTAATATTAATTATTGGCAAGAAGTTCTGATATATTTAATTTAATGATTTTTTTTAATAGTAGCGAGGGTGTCAAACTTTTTAACCTGGGTGGGGAAAAGAACAAGTAATTGTGAATTTGTATGTAACTGAAAATATTGCATCTCAAAGATAAATGAATGAAAGAAACAAAGAAAGTGCATATCTTGATCAAATCAAGTATGCAATGATGGAGACTTAAGAAGGAGAAAAGACAGAGTAATTGAGAACAATGAGAGGGTTGAGATGGAAGAGAAATTGGAAGCTTGTGTGGAGTTATCATGAAAGGTGTGGATATGGAAATATAGAAGGTAGTGGGGGAAAGTGGAGATAGCAACTCCATGAGTGAAAGTGGAAGAGATTAGTTTTCAAAGTAAAGTGGTTGGATTTTGTGTTGATATGTTATCTCTTTGAATGTTACTTTGATGTTCAGTTAGTTGGTTGGATCTACTCATTTTGGCTCCAAACAATGCTCTGTTATTTTCTCACATGTTGCCATGTCTTTGTTTTTTTTTTTCCTTCTTTTTTTAAATGAAAAAAATTATTGTCATTGTCAATTTCATGACAATTTCAGGTAATACATATATTCTTTTGAATCATGTCCAATTCACAAGACTCTTGCCTGTTTTCAAAAAAATATGCTTCCCCTACTTGAGATGAGGTTTTATTCTTTTTGGGACAATTGAGATGAGAACTCTTAATCGCCAAGGAATTTATTTATGGGAAAATGACAATTAAGGCTCCCACGAGATCATTGCTCAATTTTAAGGATTCTGAATTATTAAAATTTTAATAATAAATCATGATTCTTATTTTAAATTAAAATCATACATGAGTTTATAAAATTTTCCTTACTTGAAAAATAAAAAAAGACATTATTAAAATTACTATGATAGGTTGAAATTATTATTAATTTTAGTTGAGAAAATCAAAATCCACACTTAGGAATAAGTTATTTTCTAGTATGAAACTAAAATTCATTTGCAAAACTTTTGAAAAGTATTTATGAATATATGATAGTCATTTAAAAATTTGTCAAAGTGATTTTTAAATATGAAGCCAATCACTTATAAATTTGTGTGCTTGTTAATATAAAGGAAAATCACTTAAAAATTTGAGAAAAGATACTATTAAAATTACTATCATAGGTTGAAACTATTGTTAATTTTAATTGAAAAAACTAGGATCTAAAATGATATGCGTTGAGAGATTATTGGAATTATTATTAGGGGTTGGACAATTGTTAATTCCATTCTCAAGTGTAGAATATAATTTTTCTAATTGAGATTAACAATACTCCCAACCCATAATAGTAATTTCAGTACTAAAAGGCAATTTTGTAGACTCATGTTTTTTAATTCTAAGTAAAAATCATGGTTCATTATTGGGACTAAATTTTAATGATTCAGGATTTCTAATTGTAATTAATGATATCATGGGATCTTTAATTTTCATGTTCCATTTACGTATAAAAAAAACAGGGGAAATGACATTTAGACACTATACTAAAAATTAATTACATTTAGGAACTATCGGTTTATAAAATTACAAAAAGGATCTGCGTGTTTTGGGTAACATGTCTCAAATGCAAATTCTGAAAGTTTAAATCTCGGAAGTTGGAAAATGCATTATAAATTAGTTGTTGGCTATGGAAGTTTTGTAAATATGAAAAGCTTAATTATAAAAAAAGGACAAGAATCCATTTTTAAAACAAGATTATTGAGGTTGAATTAACTGGCTAGAGAATTTATCTAACTCAACTAAAAGTCTTTAGTCTATCCCAAAGTAATGCCTGCAAGTTGCTGACTAAATTAACCCAAACCAAAGACTTAGAACACCGGAGCAAAGAAAGAAAAAATAAAAAATCATTTTATTAACTTCTAAAATGTCTAAATCTGATCCAAAATTTACAACTGGTTTGTATTTTTTTTTACAATATTTATCGTTGAACTTTTGAAACTTAGACTAAGTTTTTAAGATTTAAAAATTTTCTACAATTTATAAGTAATTTGCAACTGATTTTTTAAATTATTCATAATCTTTTGAGATTTCGAAATAAATATTCATAATTTACAATTGAGCTATATTATCAACTATGTAAAGGCATTTTTGTCTATTTACCTTGTTGTAAGAATAAAATAAAAAACACCTAGCCCTTTGTTGACTGCTGTAGTTTCAACTTTCAACAACTTATGGTCCATAAATTTAATTAAGTTGGTTCATTAGTCTCTCCATGTCATTTTCTCAGGAAAGTATGTAATGTTATGACTACGGTTATCAATTATCATAATTATACCGTTTGTGTTGTTTTCAAGCGAGTAACTGGCGGCTGGCAAAAGCCCGGGGGAGGGGGGGGGGGGAGTGCGACTTGCTCTAACGAACATCCCAATACACATTCTGAGACACATATCGATTAGATCAAAATGTCTTAGAACTATAATTTGTTCATTTAACTCTCATGCTGGGGGCTAATTTCCGTATGATTAATCTAAAGTTTTATTGGTGTGTAAATCATTCCTCAAAGGATCACTGCTTTTTCAACGTCTGTTGCATCCAATTTGTGCAATTATATATATCACTGTAGAATTTCCATTTCAATGTATCTCCCTTCCACCAAAAAAAAAAAAGAAAGAAAAGAAAACCCCCAAGTTAAATTACTCTATAATGTTTGTAGAAGAAACGTCATTCTAAAGAATAAAGAATACTTCATGGACTCGATCAAGTGATCCACAGGTTGGTTGAGGAGGAAAAAAAAAAAAAAGGAAAGTCATGGAGAGAGTCTGGTCAACTGTTAATAATAATTGTATGTTATGACCGAAAGAGAAGAGAAAAATAGTCGAAAAACATACGTCGCCTGAGAGATTCGAACTCTCGCGGGGAAACCCCATGTACTTAGCAGGCACACGCCTTAACCACTCGGCCAAAGCGACATAGTTGCCCCGGAAGCCTACATATTATTTATATAGTATTAAATGCAGATTGACTAATGCTTTCCCCACTCGCTACCAGTACCACTTACTAGACGAACCGCGATAGACAAACCATTGAAAGTTGGGTAGTGGGCCCCACTCTCCTTCGCTCCATTATCATTTACGACAACACCTTGCCGACTCTCGACGTCACGTGTTGCGACACAGAGAGAGAGGAAGGAGGAGGAGGAAGGAAGGAGGAAGGAAGAAGGAAAGAAGGAAGGAGAACTGAGACGAGGGAGAGGGAGAGAAATGTCCTCCGCCACCGTCACCGCTGCCGACACCACCGTCGTGCCAGAGACGGCGGAAGCAGAAATGAAGACGTACTGGTGTCACGAATGCGACATGAGCGTTGCTCTGTCCTCCCCTTCTTCGTCTTCAACCTCCTCCTCCTCGTCGACTCTTCTCTGTCCCCACTGCCACACCCATTTCCTTGAACTCATGGACTCCCTTTCTTCCCTCAATCTGACTCTCACTCATTCCCCTCTTCGCTTTCCCTCTTCGACTCCCCCTACATCCACCACCTAATCCAGAACCACCTCCTTCCCTCGGACGACGACGACGACGACGACGGTGAACTTGAGTTCGACGACACTTTTGAAGACCCGTTATCTCTGCTCTCCACACTGCCAAATAGTACCTCCAAATCTTGCTCTGATTCTGTGCCCACTATAGTAGTTACCTCTTCCTTGCTATCGCAGCTTGACCCTGGAGGGGTTCTATGTGCGGTTTGCAAGGACACAATTGGGGTTGATGCGGAGGCTAAGCAGCTTCCGTGTAAGCATTTATACCACTCCGATTGTATCACGCCTTGGCTGGAGCACCACAATTCTTGCCCGCTTTGTCGCTTTCAGCTGGTCGGTGAACAAGAGGAGGATGGGGTTTCTCAGGCAAGGAGGATCAGAAGGCAGTTGAGAACGGCCATGATGAGGTTGTCTGAATTGATGGAGGAGGAGGATGATTTCTATGGGTTGAGGACTACTCTGAGTCACATTGCTAGTAGACGCCGCGTTCTTTCTTCTGCTGTTTCGGATCATAGGGATGATGAGAACCCTTCTGATTCCCTGGCCTCCCCTCGGGTGACGGAACCAGATTCTGTGTCTGCTGGTGGCAGTGAAAATTCGGAGGCTCTTTCGAGCTGATTGGTCAGTTCCGCCAATTCAACACGATATTAGGTATGTTGACCTTACTTTCAACCAGCTATCAATTTTTCTCGCTCTGTTCTTCGTATGTTGATTGAAAATTTATTTGTTTAGAGATTTTGATTATGTCTGAGCTCAAAATCGTGGATATTTCCATGCTTCTTAGTATCTTTGCACCATTTTCTTTCTATAGATTTTTTTTCTCCTCTATAGAATTGTCGATTACTCGTAGGTCAAAAGCTTGGAAATTTCCCTGTCATTCGTGATAAATTAGATTGTTTTTTCAATGAAATCATTTTTTTAACCTCGATTGATACTTGAAACTAACTGTTATCTGCAGAGTGAGATATAACTAATAAAATTATTGTGCGTGTGGGGAAGGGTCTTGAACATCAATTTTCAACACTAACTCTATCCGAACTTTGTTTTGTATGGACTGTTTTAGAGTAGAATATTGACTCTTTGCAAAGGAATTTGGTATTATAGAGTTCCTAAATTTTTGTTCCTTCCAATAATGAATATAGAACTCAGTGGCATCTCATTTCCGTTAACAATAGCAATTTCGGTTGAACAAAGGCTTCAAGTTCGTTGATGCTTAGTGACTTTACACCCAAATTCTAAAAGAAATTGCCATCTGTATTGTCAAATAGTTAATTCTGTGATATTCTGTGGCCGTGCAATGGGCATGAGATGAATCCTAGCATTTTTTTTTTTTTTTTTGTTTTCCACCCAAGAGAATTGGGGCATTTCTTTGAAAATATATGATGGAACTATTAAACGTAAGCAAGATTGTAAAAATGTGTTCTCTGAAACTTCAATTCTTGAGAAAATAAACAATTTAGTCCTTGGAAGGTATATTTTATACTTTATAATGCTTTAATCCTTGGATTTGTTTCAATGCATGTTTGTCTCCACTCCCTTCATTTACTTGACTGAGGGACTAACTCTATGCATGTGTTGAAATTGTAACAAGTCACCAAACTTTTAAAAGAACTATTTGAAAAGAGGAATGCAAGTAAGGACTAAGCATAAGGTATAATTTTCGGGGGCCAAATTGTGTATTCAGTTTGATTCAACCACAATTTGCATTGGTTTGTGAGTCATGTGAGAACAACACCCTCTCCCCTCACTTTCATGAATTATTACAGATGCTCATATATATGCATTTTGTCTAAGTTAGGTCACGATTGCTTTAGTTGGAAGGGCAATAAATCAAATGGATTTGCTTATTTTGCTGTCTTCAGTAGTCTTGTTGCAAGTTTGGAGACTGTCATAACTTAATTCTTCCAGTGCTGACTTGTAGTCTTGCCTAGAAACTGAATCAGCAGAAGTTGTTTGTTGAAATGATTGAAGCTGGTGATGGAGGGAGATCATAACCAATTCAGCATTAGTAAAGTGCATATGCGTTAGCCTTCGTTGGTTTCCCTAAATATGAGAGACTTTTTGGTTTTTCAATCACCAATGCAAAAGCTTAACTTGTTAGCAGCATATTTTCCGCCATGCCTACTATTATTGTGAGAATGGGAAGCAAAAAAGATCGAATTCTGGACCATTCAGTTATAAAGGCTCTAATATGATGCCAAGTATCATTTAAACGCTCAAACTTTTGCAGTTAAAATGGATATCCATGAATAGTTTAGTTATACTCTTCAATTCGACTATCCTTTTAATTGCTGTTAGCTATTACAGTTTATGAATTAATAATGGGTAATCTGTTTTCCTCTTGCAGGCATAGGGTTTTTTATATGTCAAAAAAATCATGAAGTTGTGTCACTATAGATCGGCTAATCAAATATAAATCTGCAGCGGCAGCAGTGCTAATCTTTTTAGTTTTTATTTTTTTTCCCCTGTTTTTGGGGGTAATTTGGAAAAATTTAGGTAGACTCAGTTTGAAAAATGAGAGTAGATCAAATCTATCATAACCACGCAAGGATCTCACGATGAAGTGCATCTTCATGATTGTTTTGGTCTACTTTTGCAAACCGGGTCTATCTATGAAGCTTAATAATTTTGCTAGCTAGTTGCAGTACTGAGGTGAACATTACAATAAACTAGTGGGGTGCATGTGTGCTGTGCATTCCTCTTCCTAGCTTCCCCACCCTCTCAATCTTCGTTTTGTCCATAGAAAGCAGTCTGTCAAAACTAATTTCTCTTCACGTTGTCTGCAATAAAATGTTTGTGAGTTTCGCATATCATCTGCCATGTATCTGAACTGATCTCCACTGAATCATTTGGAATGAACCAGTCTTCGATTTCACTTATGGAGTTAATGTTGACTACTATAATTACTTTGCTGTAGTAATGGTATGTAATTGCGTGGGTTGGGGGGCTGATTGTACAAATTGTTAAGACTCAGTAAAGTTTCTTTTTACAAGACATTATTGATGGCCCGAGTTTATAGTAGAAAGAATCATGTTCTGGAGACACATCGATTTTGGCGAGGTTGATATTCATTGTACTTAAATATTAATGAAATGATTTTAAATGCAATGGGTGGATATTCATGATCGATCTGGTTCATTAATCGTTAAAAAAAAATGGCATTGTAATTCATTTTCTTTGAAGGAAGATCAGTGATGTTTCTACTTAAGAAAAATGCTGAGTTTATAGTTAACTCATATAATTATATGGTAACAAGTTAGATTCAAAGCATCCAATGTTTCAGGTGAGGCTGCGGCACACACAGTTAAATTAGTTAACTTTATCCTCTTTAAGGAGGGACCATGCAGTTCCTTGTACTCCTTCACCTCTTTCCTTCAAAGGTCTTGCGCTTCAGCTTCACATCCCTGGTTTTAAACACCAAGAACATTACGAAAATCTAACTTCACAAATGAAAAGCTTTGATAACAGTAATTGTTAAATGTGGTTTTATGGCTCCAAAGGTAGAACCTACGATTAGAGGCATAAAGCGAATGGTGAAAGGTCGGGGGACAAGTAATGGGTGCACCGTCGCGTGACACGTAAAGGTTCTGAAGCGTTCCTAAGCCGATAATTCGGCATTCGCAATGAAATGTCAACACGTAATACCCGCACGTGACTAATTCCAGCCCCCATTGCCTTCTATTCCGGTTTCTTTGTCGGCTGTGCAATTGCAAAACACACCCCCTCGCTAATGATTTGGTAAGGATTGGATTCCATGCCCGGAGCAAATAGCGACACGTGAAAAATTTATAAGCGTGTGATTAAGTTAACGGTCAGAGGCAAATGCACATGAGAGGAGGAAGGCACTCTCATTTTCACTCATTTTCATTTATGAGCTTGAAAGATTTGATTCCACAACAAAACTGAAATTTAATCCTACTTCCTTTTCTTTAAATTTTGAGAGATTCCATGAGAATGAGAAAGCTGATTTCAGTTTCGTGGATTTATTGATGCACATGCTTCTGAAATTTTTTAATTTCAAATTGAAACCTATATAACCTCTAATATAATAAAACTCTGCAGAGTGGGATGCATTCTTGAAAATACTATATCATTATAATTCAAAATACTTGATTCTCTTATCTTTAATGCAATCCAAGAAATAAGGTATCTTATTGAACAACACGGAAACTCAATTTCAAGGTTTTTTGAGAGATAGAAATTGCGAGGGGAGCAGAAGAGTTCGAAATCTAATAATAACACTTTAAAATTGAAGCATGGTTCCAAAACTGAAACATATTGCTTCGTCTTGCTATTAACTGCTTCACTTAAGATTAATCGCTTCATCTTCATCATCCTGATTAGGGGTGATTACAGAAAAAGAAAATAAGTACCAATGCGTGAAAATACCCCTAGTTCTCTCACTCCTCTCATGTGCGTTTATGTCTGACCGTTAATTCGATCTTATGCTTATAAATTTGCCATATGTCGCCATGCATTGGATGCGTGGATTTGCCCCAGGCATAGAATCCAAATCCGATTTGGTAAACCTCCCTTCATCATAATAATTACGTAGCCAAATTTTCTTGTGGTTATTTTAAAATAATTTCAAATCATATTATATATATATGTTATAAACAGTTTTCTGATCCAACCCGATTCAGCAGTGAAAACAGTTTTCTGATCCAATTAGTGATCTGGTTGATGATCTAGCCAATCCGAACATCCACTTCTCACAGCATGTGAGATTTACACGTTACTAATAGAGTAAATTAAACGAATTAAGTGGATTAAGAAATGATAAATACGCAAGGAATTATGCAAAAAAGAGATGATGCTGACGAGGAATCGGCCCAATTTGACCAAACAGCCCCGTTTACTTGGTTTGCCCAAAGAAACTTCCAACCAACTTTTCCGATGGGTCAAATTTGATTGGTACGTCAATAAATAATTCTGAACGCCCCCACTAGGCCAATACCACCCAAGTCCCACGTATACCCTCTCCCTATTAATAATTCATACACAACCTTATGGATAACAATGAAATTTCCACCTGAGCATCCTTTTTATTACAAGGTCAAAGGTCAATCTAAGTAAGTTCATTTGTATTTGGACATTTATCTCTTCTGACCTTTCCAACTTCCTCGTGCTCCTAATTACCATTCCACGCGCAATCGAAACTTTATATAGAGACCCCTCTGCGTCTTATCTCCTTAATCCATTCATTCATCTATCCCTACAATCATATTCTGTTTCGATTCAGAGTTTGATCAAGTTAAAGATGGAGTTCGTCATGAGCTTAGGTGACATGTTGGTGAAGGTTGCCTTGTTCTTCCTCGTTCAAGCTTTGGTTTATCTTATCCTCTCCCAATTCTTCCAACATCTTCTCCAATACCGTTACCAGATCCACCACCTTCAGGACCGCTCGATCTGCCAGTATTCGCCGGATTCTTGCCGTCCTCTCCGACCAGCCGATCGAAGCCGAGCCCTCTCCTTCTTCTAGGAGCCCTCCATCCTCGGCTGTTCAGAGTTACAAGTCTGAATAATCTCTCCCTCGGGCCACGCACGAGTTCTTTAGTTTAGTAAGGTCGTGTGATTTACAAAATTAATCAAGATATCTAGTGGATTCTTTTGTTGCTTTAGGGGTTTGTTATTCTTTTGTTCTTTCCTCGTGTATATATTACAACTTATGAACTTGGATGAATATTGATTTGAGGTTGTTCATTTATCTGTGTATCCTGGATTGTGTATATTGAAGATCGATCAAGTGTATGGTTAAAGAATTATACTAAATAGATGAAGCTGGGTGTATATATTCAGGATGTCTTTTTTTTTTTTTTTTTCACACAGCAAAGATTTCTTTACTTGACAATCATTTTAGCTTATATTTGACGGTTAAGCATTAAGTAAATAGATGTCATATATTACTTACTTAACGATTAAAAAAACATCAATATTAGAAGCATTACTTGACGTTTATTGATAAATAACAGTCAAAATATATGATTTTATAATTGTTCGTCTCTGGAAGAAAATACTTGATAGTTATTTATAAATAATTATTAAGTAATTATGAAAAAAAATTAGGGCTCATTTTACTACTACAGTTATTTGTAAATAACAATCAATTTTTTAAAATACTTGACGGTTATTTGTAAACATTAATGTAGAATTTGTGTATTTTACAAGAAACTTTTAACGTTGATTAAAATGCACCCATTGTTGAAGGTAGAGATAGTAGTATTTTTTGTATATTAAAGACCAATATAAGACTTTCAACAGCGAGGTGGGAATTTAAAAAATAAAATAAAAAGTTGCAACTTTCAACAGTGGGTGGCTCACACTCATTGTTGAAAGTGAATTTAAAAAAAAATACTACACAACAACTTCAATAGCGGGTAGCCCCACCCACCGTTGAAAGATAGAATTAAAAAAATAAAACAATTTACATTCAACAGCGGGTGACACGTCACTTGCTATTAAATGTGATTCAATTTACTTAAAAAAAAAACCTCGTCTCCACCCCTTCTTTCTCCATTATTCATCATCAGTCACCCCCTTCTTCCTCCCCCACACCCCTTCTTCCTCCTCCATTATCCCTGTCGGTCGCCCCCCCTCCCCTCCCCTCCCAAATAAGATCCTGATACCTTCAGCAATGAATATGTGAAGTTAAAAAGGATATTTTTATGACTCCATATGTACACTCGTAAGGATCAATTTATGATTGATAGTTTTTTTGTTAAATGTGAATTTCTTCTAATAACTCATTATATTTTATAGGGACACTAGCAATTGATTGTTCTTTCATTAAAGAGTAACACAGTCTTTTTCTTATGCTCCCTCAATTACAAACCAAATGAGGACATAAAAAAGACAATAGACTCGTAAGTGTACTTGTACAAAAACTATTAATTTTTATGGATATATTAGTTATAATATCGTGATGTTGATCATAGGACAATGAAAATATATGAAATAATGGTCCTGAAAAAGCATCCTCATGAACTAAAGGATCCTACGTGGATTGAGCCAAAGGTAAGTTAAAATTAACATTTTACTAAAATATTCAACTGTCAATATTTATTACCGATTCTCAATTGCTTATATATACACATATATATGTTTTTATATAGAGTCATAAGTAACCACCGAAGACTAGTTTGTGCGACATATATGTGATGAGACACATGGTCAACATCATCACATTGAGAATGACTGAATTTACAAATGAGGTAACTATATTTTTGAAAAGCTAATTATATTGTTATTTGAATTAATTGGTTAATATTTTAATTACAATTTATACTTTAATTTAGATTTTTGACATTGCAGATCCATTTTCTAAGGAAGAGGTTGATGGCATCTTCATATGTTGGGCACCATATTTTATGGGTGGTATGTGAGGTTTAGGTATTTTTTAGAAATTGTATAAGACAATTTGAGTTTTGTGTAATTTCTATAAAATTATATTAAATTTAAATTATTTATATGTACTTAAACTAGCTGGCTGGTAATAAATTGTGTAGAATATTTTCATTTGCAAGAATTGAAAAATGAGTAGAAATAAAATTAATTTTTTTTAAAAAAATCATTTTTAACAATGGTTCTCTAGCCATGACTGGTGTGAAAGTTCACTTTTAATAGCGATTCTTGCCTTAATTGATGTTGAAAGTCCACTTTTAATAGCAATTCTTGCCTTAACCACTGTTGAAAGTCCACTTTTAATAGCGATTTTGGCTTGAAATGTTGTTAAAAGTGATTTAAAAAAAAAAATCAATGATCTACTTTCAACAACGAGCATAAACTTGCTATTAGAAGTTTATTTTTAATAGCGGTTGGACAACTGCTGTTAAAAGTCACATACTTTTAACATCCCTTGAAACAACAACAATTTTAGAATCGCTATTAAAAATATTTTTTATCTACTATTAAAGCCTATCCTGTAATAGTGAATAATCATAAAATATTTATGGTATTTTTTTTAAAGGATGAGCTACTTTTCAAGCAATCCTCATGCATAAAGATACACAAAATAGAAAATAGAATCAGCCAGCCAATATCTAAAAATTATAAAATAAATGTTTCTATCAAAATTATTATTCAAGGATAATAAATTAAATTTCTATACTTATAGCCCTATAAACCCTAACTTGCAAACTAATTAAATTTTCAAAACTAATTAAGTGACCAGTTTTAGGCATAAGAATTGCCCAAGAAAATATAACATGAAAAATGCATATACCTAATTAACTAACTATTAGACTAGCCTAACCGCTGCTGCTGCTCACATATTGAACATAGCTTGAACCACCTCTTCAAGGATTTCTCTACATGTGTAGTTGTATATCGAATACAGTAGACATTCTTGAAGTACTGTAAGCAAATAGTCACAATAAGTTTAAGTTAATAACTAGCTATTTAAAATGGGTTTAAAATTTATAATTTAAATATAATTAAATTTAATATACCCTATCTGATAATATGGTAGAGGCATGGGTGATAATATCTTTCATGAATTTCATCAGGTAATAATAACAGTCATTACTTTACTTTAGCTGGAGTGGACACTATAAAAAAACCACATAAATATTAATGAAATTGTATAATATGTCATAATTTCTTAATTAAAAACTTGATCAACTAAATGAATACCTTAATGAGGATCCATTTGTTAGAAGAGTGGAATGTATATACCTTTTTTTTTTTTGCTGGTAATAGGTCCTTTGCCAGATTTGGATTATTTTGTTTATTAATATAAATGACAATAGGAACATCAACAACAACAATCACATAACGTTATACCCAACAACAATTTAAAAAAAAAATTTGACAACATAACGGCTTAAGAGTAAATATTACTCAGGATTTATGCCCTAAAAAAACTATATAGTCAACAACAAATATTATTTATGATCCAACAACAACAATAACAATATTAATAAGAAGCCAAGTTTTAATGAAAATAATAAAATTCACATTAAATACCATAAATCAATTTTCAATCAATTCAAACACTAGCAATATAAAAATTGACAATTCAAGCAATAAAAAATCAAAAGTAATCTTCCAATTATAAAACAAACACAGTCAAATATCTAAAGTTTTAAATTTCAAACACTTATTAACAGAAACATCAATGAAGAGATTAAATAATTAACATTCAAATAAGACATTGCATATATAAATTAAAATTAACAACTCACAAATTCAAAATGAGGATTAAAGATTTGAAAAGCAAGAGCCAACTTCGAGAATAAGTGAATAGATGCGAAAATAGAGAAAGGGCAAACCACAAGCAATGAATCCAAGAAAACAAGTACCCACAAGCACGATTGGGTTTGAAAATAAAAACCCCACAGTGAATTAAGTGCAAAATCATGCATTTTGGCTATTGGAGTGACAAAAAATGAGTTTCAAGTGGTTTGAGTGGGTTTGGGACAACTTTTGAGTTGTAAAAATGTGAAGAGAGAAAGTGTTTTAAAGGTAATTAAAATGCAAATGCTTAACGGTTATCCTATAACAACCGTCAAATATTACATATTTGACGCTTATTTTAAAACAACCATCAAGTATATTCTAAGCATACTTGAGTAATTATTTTTGTTTTAATTTTTTAAAAAAATAATTAATTTGATACTTTTTTGAAGATAATCGTCAAGTATTTGACGGTTATCTTCAAACAAGCATAAACTATATTTCCGTCCAACAATAATTAAGTTTAAATATATGTTGATGATTTTTTCAATATATCATCAAGTATGGATTTAGATACTTGATGATTGTGTTGAAAAAACTGTCAAGTATTTAGTGTTTTTTTTATATTACTTTTATCATATAATAGTTAAATATGAGAAGTCTTATTTAACAAATCCTGTAGTAGTATTTCTTGTATCCCAATGGATGCATTTACAGTTTTACAAAATATCAAACTTAAGTGATTAAATTATGTTGACAGCTGGGTTATTCATAACGGAGAGAAGCTTCTCGTCATGTGGACTTACACGTTATACAAGATGAGTAAGACGACTAGAGAGAAGGCTTTATGAGAAAGTTGAGATACTTTTTTAATACGAATGCAAGGATTGTAAATGTTAACTAAATGAGAATGACACAAATGATAGCGGTTTGAATTTCTTAAGCATTATTTTAGGATTTAATTTTTGAAAATAGCGTAAGAAAATCATTTCTTGAGAGAAGACAACTTTTTAAATAATGCTTTAAATTTTTAAAGGATTAGCCAATCATAAAAATGCCTTGAATAATCCCCCCAAGAAAAAGAGAGATGATAAGTGTTAGAGAAAATTAGATCTTTATGATCATTGAGATTGATCAGATTCCTTTGTTGATGTGAGAAGCTTGTTAGTGAATTATCTTTAAGTATCTCTATAGATGCTCGTGGAGTCCAAAAATGTTCTAATTGTATTCTTAAAACCTAACTCATCTAATTTTTTTTCTCTCATGGTAGTGTCATAGCTATTAGTCGTAAGACTAATTTCTCAAAGAATCTCATCGCTATTAGAAATACTCTCTCTCTCTCTTTATTATATATATATATTATATATAGATATATATATATCTTTAGGAGTTAACATCAAAGAATCTCATCGCTATTAGAAATACTCTCTCTCTCTTTATTTATATATATATATATATATATATATATATATCTTTAGGAGTTAAATCCTGAAATGATGTTTAAAGAGATGGAGCTGCTATTATTGTGTCGCACTATCTTGGTAGCTCATAGAGTTTAGATCTCTGTTAAGCATTGCAAATTTTTGTGGACTGTACATTCGCCCAATAAGACTCACGCTTCACCCTCAGCTGTCAACGGGTTCAATGGCAATTCTTCCTTTGGGCTCACAAACCAAAGCTTGCATGTATAAATGCCATCCAACCATCTTTTGTTGCCTTTTTGGGGGTTTCGGCCCACCAGGTTGGGCTTTGGTGCTAATTGTTGTAGTGATATCTTGATTGGATGATATGAATTTTAAGTTTTAAATTTATAAATTTTAAATAATAAATTTATTTTTTACAGAGTAACAGTTTGAACTTTGAAGATTATCTTAATTTTATACTTTTAACCTATTAAAATAAACACATATTAAACATATAAAAATAAAATAATACCAAATTTAAATTGTCTAGTTTTCATATAGATATTTTAGGTCTTATTTTCGTCATTTGAATAAAACATTCAAGCTCCATTCGCTACTTCTCATAGATAATATCACATTGTTCCTCATTATAATACTTATAATTTTTAAAAAAATATTGTGCTATTCATAAGTTAGGAAGAGTGTTGTTGCTATAAATCTACTCTATGATGCACATATATTTCCTTCGGTCTTTTTAAAAGTTATACTCCAAAAAGTTTCCTTAGTTTTTTTTTATATGTAACTTTCTCTTGTTTTTTTAATTTTTAATGCACAATTTCAAAAATATTCTCTAACAGATTTTAAAAAGAAGTGCAATATTTCAATTCTCAAAAAAAAAAAAATCCTCACACCTTAAATCATTCCTTTTAAATTTAGGAAGAAAATTGAAAAGTGATTTAATTTTAAAACAATTTGATTATTCTAATCATCTCACCTTAATTTTAGTGAGTTGGTTAAAACTTAGAAGTGATTTACAAAAAAAATTGGATGGATTAGAAATTATTTATAAAAGAATTCGATGGAGAATATATGAAATCTAGTTGGGAAGAGAGTTCTTCAAAGTTGAGAAGTGAAGCCATCGATATCCTACCCCCCTGTCACTAATTATGTAATTGGACCTTTTTTCTCACCATCGCTATGTAATTGAACCTTGAATACTATCACATTCTCCAAAACTTTAAATTTTTTCCAAAAGTATTTTATTTTTAAATTGATATTTTAATTATGGGTAGATAACTCCTTATATCTCACCAGAAAGGGATGAAACCTTTCCCCCCCCTTTTTTCAAGACCAATTTAATAATATTAACCAACTTTTCTTAATTATAATAAAATAATGAAGAATAACTTGATTCCTGTATAATTGAGACTCATTATAAGAGTCATTTATAATGAACACCGTTATATAACATTTTGTTGTGGAGTCCTATATTACGTTTTTTTTCAATTAAAAGTTGCATTTATAAATTAACAATGATTACAATCAGTTGGGTTCACAAAATGAAAGCTTTCATCACTCGTCGCCTCTTGCTAAAAGAAGTGAGGATGATCAAATGTATAAAAATTATTGAATGAACCATGAGACATCCCCACTAAGCTATCAACCAAAGAACATGATAAAGTGAAAGAGTTCAGTTTTTATGAAAGATAAATCTACCATCGTCAATGGTATCCTTAAAAGGGTGCTCATCATCACATCCTCTTTGAATCAGTTGGATTGCATTAATGCAGTCAGTATATACTTCCATTTATTTGAAATCAAAAGTCCAACAAAGATAAAGGCCTTGAATAATCGCCAAAACCTCCACAATTTTAAGGAAAACATTAGTGAGCTTAC